CTGTTGGAAGAGAACCTGGAAAGTAAGAAAGAGGCTTCGGTGAGGGAGCGGGGAGGGGGAGGGAGGGGAGTGCACGGGAGCACTAACACCGAGCAACACGCAGGGAGTGAGTGCCTGGGCTGTGGATGCCAGGTGGACGGCAACGTGCTATAAACCGTCCGTTTCAGTACTGTAATTCTGTATACTACTAGGTAGGTGTGATGATGATAGGTCTAGTACTAAGGTAGGTACTAACGTGTGGCCCCACAACATCGTGCCCCCCCTAATATTATAGCCTCATGAGAAAACCACTACGAACTTTAAAGCCGCATTAATTAACTAAAAATAGAGCAATTTAAATTCTAATACCTATATCGTATATATATAACTATAATAAACCTAGTAGGCTACTTTATTTAACTCCCTAACTTATTCTATAGCTTAACGCTCGCGTTTTACCTCGTTTGCCTACTCTATAGCCTCTCTAGCCTTTTTAATCTATAGTATCGTAATAAATATATTATTTAGACCTCTCTTAACTACTTAATAGCCTAATAGCTTATAGGCTTCGACCCTTACCTTTAAATATTAAATTTAGCCTTACTTAGCCGTAAGTAGGCTATTCTTATAATTAAGGGACTTAGCCGCTTTCTTAGCTATAATTCGAAAGCCGCGATTAACGCTATTAAGGTCCCTTTTTAAGAGACTAACCTATACCTCTATTTCCTTACTACTTTAAAGGGTTTACTATTCCTTATTTTTTAGAATCTATTATTTCTTTAAGGTCTTAGGCTCGGCTAGAACCTTTAGTAAGGCCTTTATATTAATAAGGGTATCGAGAGGTCTTTAGAGGACTATTAAATAGATCCTAGCTACTTAAAAACCGGCCTAGATATTTATTTACGTAAAGGCATTCTTAGAGGCTATTTTATATACCTTTAAAAAGCGCTATTTTTATTATAGCGCTATAACTTTAAAGTTAGCTAGTTTAGTATATTATTAGCGATATAATGTCTTAAGTAGGCTAAAAATGCCTATATTAAGAGGCTATATAATATATAAAGTATATATTAATAAGTAAAGAAGGTAAACCTTATTAATCTAAGCTAAATATATAAATTCCTCGTTAATATACGTTATAGCACTATTAAGGACTAAAAGACGCTAAAGTAATGCGATTTATAGCTTTATTTAAAGTAAGAAAACCTCTTTAAGCTAGCGAAATAAGATCTAATTATTTAACTAGCTTAATAGGCTATAGTTATATACTTAATCCGGAAAATAAGCTAGAAATTACTATCCTTAAAGCTTATTACTTATAAAGATTATAAATAGCTTTATATAATAACTTAAGGTAATAATAGCCTTAATTATTATAACTTAAGTATTTAAATTACTCTTAGTCTTTATTACTAACTTTATTAAATTACTATTAATAACTCTACTAGCCTTAATTTCGCCCTTAATTATACTAATCTCGTCTATATTATATATTTAGTCTATTACGATAGAAAGGGTCTTTATTTACTTATTAAGATAGCTCTAGAAGTTATAGAATATATCCTTAATTAAAGAGAGGGTCTAGGATACTTTAATGCCTTAAGTAAGCTTCGATTTAACCTTCGAATTATACTTAAAGAAGTAATTAACCTAGTTATTTTTAATCTACTCGAACTAGCCTCCTTAAGCTACTATAAGCTACGTAAAAGACCGTATATTTACTCACATTAAAGCCTGGCTGACGGTCTCTTCGGCTAATATCTAATTAACGAGCTCTTCTTCTTAAACTAGCGATAGGCGCTATATCTTTTTCTTCGCTTTATAAATTTCTTACTTACTGTTAACTCTATCGCGAAGGGTCGACTCGGGTATACGCTAATCCTAACTAACCTTACCGATTTTCGCGCCTATTTCGAGCTCTTAAAGCGCGTTTTCGATATAGGCCTCTTAGGCAGCCTTAGAACGCGTTATATTAAAAATTTAGGTTCGATTGATATAAAAATAAAGGAATTATAGCCAAGTGACGAGAGATAGTTAGTATTGACGCGTCGGGAGATTGCGACGCGATGTTAGGGGGGGCACGAAGTTATGGGGCCACACGTTACTACCTATTGGTACCTACCTACCGGGTACTACCTACCTTAGGTAGGTACGAGCGAAACTCCACGGCGGCCCAGACTGCACGGTGCCGTCCGTACATTATGCCTCATGTACTGCAGGTACCTTGCCCAGGCCTGCAATTTCACGACCCAAGGCGGGCGAGGCAAAAGCCGTACGAGAGAGTGGACGGAGAAGAGTTCAAAGTCCCGTGGTCTCGTCAGATTGCCTTTATCACCATGTCCCCCGCCGGGGACGCAGGCACCGCCTTATTCATGCGCTTGGAGATGGCCCGGTGTTTCGCGAAGCCGACAGGAGTTGCCGACGGGGCCCCCAAGGCGCGGCGCAACACCTGCTGCGTGCTGTCACCCAGCCAGGGCTGTCAATGGGGTCATTCTCTGGGACTGGGACGGTCAATCAACCAACGCCAGTCTGGCCAGACAGAGACACAGCACAGGGCGCTTTCGCGTGGCGCCAGCTTCCTACCTCGACCCTGGCGCTGGGCCTGACCCGGCCTGGCCTGGCAGCTCAGGTCCCGTCTGGGAGCCCACTACGTACCCTCTGTCAGTGGCCCGCTAAACGCTACGTACTTAGGTACCTTCCAGGCCGGGTTCCACCAGCAAGAACCAGCCGCACCTCGCGGCGTGACGCGACGGGGCCCTGGCTGCCTGGCTCTGCACGGACAGACCTCCAGGGCTGGCTCCCACTGCCCGACCCATGGATCGCTGGCGCCCGCCACATCCACTGGCGATCCTCCGCCCGCCAGGAGGTAAGCATTCGCCTGTGCGCCACCATCACCTGGGCATACCCCGGAATCGTCTGCGAAAAAATCGGCCAAGCCCAGTCACAAGTCGAGCTGAGTCTCTGCCTCGTGCCGTCGGCTTCGCACTAAATTGAGACAGGCCAGGGGCCGTCGCTCCACGGTGTTCAGTTAGGTTCCGTTCAGCACTGGGAGCTGCAGAGTCCCACCAGTTTCTAGTCTGGATGCGGCGCCCGTCTGTTCTTAGATACTGCTGTGGTGTGCGTGCCGCGATCGCTGTGGTCAATGCACGCAGCACCATGTCCACCAGTCCCATCAAAACCGCCCGGCTGCCGGAAAGCAGCCCCCCCACTGCAACACCCACGTTTTCCTCACGGTCCAGCCTCTGTCTTGCTCCACTGCCCGGCGGGGTTTCTTCCACTTCGTCAGTGAAGTTAAAATGTATCATGTACGGTACTCGCACGCGACAGAACACCACCGCCCTCTTCCATGGGATCAGGGGTCCTGCAATCTTACACATCGCCATGCGCCGTTGAAGATGTGTGTCTGATCCGGGAGTCGGCCCGCGTGCTGTTCAGCGCCTCCTGTATGCACAAACACACTCGCGCCGTCGTCGACACCGTCTCCCGTCCCCTGGTCGTGTGGTAGCACAAGCACAAGCACCACGCAACTCCCGTCTCTCTCCTGCAGCGCTCCCATTTTCATGCATGATTCGCTGATGGCGCCTCGACCGGTCAAGGCCCGTACCCCGCTGTAGACAGGGGAGGGCGACTGTGAACCGAGCGCCTCTTGAGCCTCGCGCTCGGCTCAACTGCGCGCGTCGTGCGTGCGTATTTCGTGGTTGGCTCACAAAGTCGCAGACTGCTGCTTGCTCCAGTCTTCTGCATGCATAGGCAGAACAAGAAACGTGCTGCGATATGCGACTAAATCGTGGGCGGCGCTGCATTCTGCGTGCCTGGCCGATGTGTCTGTCCCCTCCCCTTCTTCCTACTTATGATTGCCCAGTGCAAGGGCCGCCAAATGGCCGAAACTTGGGCCTCGCCGTCGTCGCTTCACGCATCGTGAGCTCGCGCCGCCCGACCGGCTCACTGATGCGGCCCTCGTCCGCCTGAGGAGGTTGGCAGTCTGGCTCGCACGCAGGCGACTCTTGGAGCTGTTCTGACATGGCGGACCGCACGCAAGGTTGTGCTGGCCCTGTTCGGCCGTAATGCAAGCTTCCCCCGTGGCTGACGCGCCATTTTGCTGCAGCTCTCGGCATCTAGAGCTCCGCATCACCAGTCATTTGGACATCGAGCCTTTGTCTCCCGCGGCCTCCAGACACGTCAGCGATGTTCAGTTGGTTCCTTGCGGGACATTTGATCTGCGAGCGCATGTACAGAGCGAGTGCGTGCGCAGCTCGCCTGCCGGATCGCCAAGTGCCGTCTTGCCGGGGGGGGGGGATGTTTGTTCGTCGCCCGCTGATATTGGTGCTAGTATTAGGTGTACTTGGTCAGGATGGGCATCCCGATAATGACCTGAGTAACATGTCGCACGGTGACGCCACCGTCTTCTGGGTGCGAGTGAAGCGCGCTGTTGCGCCACACGTGCCACTGACGGGCTCTGTCATTCCTGGGGGTCTCAGCCGCCCACCTTGAATTGACCGTGACCTGAGAAGCGCCCGTCAGTGAGTGGCTCCAGGCCAGGGACGGCGGCCTCCGTACCTGCCGGCCCTCAACTTCCGGCTGCAGGCTGCCCAGGTGCACCTGCCCCACCCGGCCGACAGTCGAGCGATGGGGTGGGCGGCCACGACGAGTCACCGTCGAGCTGCTTCTGCCCCGCGGTCGGAGCGTCTCTCGAGCTATCCATCATTAAAAAAAAAGCACCCCGCCAACTCGACTCGACTGCCCTCGCATCGTCGCCACCAGCCTGCTTCAGTCCAAGAACCAGTCAATTGCGCGCCGTCAACAGCGGGCGTCTACAAGTCACACCAATCCCTCGAGAGACCAGCTGCCAACGGGCCCCATTAGCCATGGATCTGGTCAACCAGTTCGTGCTTCCCTGATACTCAATGCCGCCAACGGTGGTGTGTCGCCGCACCCGGAGGTAGCACGCTGACCAGTGGCTTTCCCGCAACAAACAGCCTCGAAGGTCGCCTGCTCTTCGCCGTGCCCAAAAGTGAGTAGCCACTCTCAAATCAGAAGCCGTCGTTTCGGACGCGCCTGGGTTTCTGACGTGTTTCCTTCGCTCGGTACAGAGGGTCGGTTGAACCAGACGGCGCTCAACTTGCTCGAGGGTGCCGACATTCAATTCCGCCGCGAGAACCGCCTCGATATCGCTCTCGTCAAGAACCTCCCCATTGCGCTCATATTCCTACCCGCAGCCGACATCCCCACCTTTGTCGGCCAAGGTCGCGTCGACCTCGGCATCACTGGCTGGGACCAGGTCCAGGAACATGATGCCGCTGTCCGCGGAGACTCCACCCCTACCGAGGGCGCCAGCGACGCCTCCGGCTGCGATATGGTCATGGAGCTGGGCTTTGGCGGCTGCCGTCTGCAGGTTCAGGTCCCGGAGAAAGGCAAATACGTCACGAGCCGAGACCTGATCGGCCGCACCATTGGCACCAGCTTCGTCAACTTGACCGCCGACTACTTCGCCAAGCTCGAGGCAGAGGCAGGCCAGGCCCCGTCTGAGGGCTCTACTAGAAAGCTGCGCACCAAGATCGTGGAGCTGAGCGGCAGCGTCGAGGCAGCCTGCGCGCTAGGTGTTGCTGATGGCATCGTGGACCTCGTCGGTAGGAGAACTCTCGCCGAAACAGCGCGCACCAGAGACTGACCCTGGTACAGAATCGGGCGAGACCATGCGCGCGGCTGGCCTCAAGGCAATCGACACCGTTGTTGACTCCACTGCAGTCCTGGTGAAGTCAAGATCGCCCTCGAACCCAGAAATGCTCGACCTTATCGCGTCGCGAATCCGTGGCGTCATCACGGCCCAGAAATACGTTCTCTGCCAGTACAACATCGAGCGATCGAGGCTTCCGGAGGCAACCAAGATCACCCCGGGGAAGCGAGCTCCCACAGTGACAACGCTGGACGCGAATGGATGGGTCGCTGTCAGCTCCATGGTGGAAAAGAAGAAGATTGCCCTGGTCATGGACGACTTGACCCGGGTTGGTGCGCACGACGTGCTGGTTCTCGACATTCACAACACTCGATGAACACGCCGATACATCGTGCGCAAGTCAGTGTGGTTGGGACCAAGCGACTTTGGCGGCTCCGGCGCAATACGGCAACGGGCAATGGGGCCATGTGACAAGCCCCAGGCCAGGGATGATGTCTTGAGAAACCGGTGTTCTCACCCAACGGTGTTCGCTGCACAGGGCTCTTCCGAGCAATGAGGCATTGGCATGAGAGAAGGCGTGGGGTTTGCTGGATCCTGGTGTTGGGTTGGATATCACAGAGACCGTGCAAGACATGGGACCAAAATGTAGAGGGCGATAAATGGCGGCAATTTCGGATAGACAAACCCGCGCCTGATTCACGGAGTCGCCTTGCTGCTTTGCGTTGCATCTACTTGGGAACCTTGCACCGCCGCCGGGGTGCGACGGACTCTGGCAAACTCGCAGGTGGAAGTGGCCTCGTACTCGATGTATGAATCGAAGGAGACGGGCTCTCCAGATGGCCCGCCCACGACTATCCATGGCTCTTGTAGTCGGCACGAAAATATGGCCATGATTGGTGAATGGCTTTCTCATTGCCTGGAGAGTAGTTACCCGCCGGCACTGGGCAACCAGAGTGCCGGAAGTGGCGGAAGGCGGCCGTTACATGCAGCTCAGCGCTGGCCGCCACTGCAAACTGACGTATATGCTTGCGCGTAAGAGCTGCGCGCCCAATCTTCAAGGTTGGCTCCAAGCTGCCGCTAATGGAAACACTCACCACCTCCTCAGCGGACCGCAGCTCCATTGTGATCGACATTCGCATCCGCGAGCTGCCTCTGCGAGTCGATTGCCATATCTCGGGCGTCAAGCGCAATCACATACGCGCGCGAAGCAGCGCTCTTCGGCGGCCTGCCTGTCTGTGAGGCAACGGGGACCCTGGAAAGACAAGATTCATCTGCGACGTGGGCCTCCGCCCGCGGCTCCCGGTGGCTGCGATGGCGGGCACAGCGGCCTCGGCGGGGTCTTTGCCGTCGTCGAAACACACCTCGGGCTGGAATGGAAATGGCAATGGCAATGGGCGAGATGGCCCCCAGGAGCCGTCCACTCTATACAAGGCAGGCCACTTACACCTCCGAGGCCCCTCGCCGTGGCCGCGCGAATGCCAAGTTCCTCCGCTAACAGACGCGCGGCGGTCGTCCGCCAACAGCTCGTCATGACGCCCATCAACTTTGCGTCCTTTATCCTCTCCCTCGTGCTCGTCGACATGCAGTACTCGCTGAGGCGCGTCCACAGCCACGCCGAGGCGCCGAGCCGGCTGCCGTCGTGGCTGCACTCGCTGCTCTTCTGCCCGCAGCCGTATTACCAGCCGGCGCGCTACGGGAAGGACGCGGTCCCCGGCGGCGGCGGCTCGCGGGGCTCTTCGTCGGAGCCGTACTACCACTCGAACCAGAGGAGGCTCATGGAGATGGAGGCCGAGGAGGCGTTTAGGATGCGGAACACGGTGCTCATTGTCTTTGGGCTGGTTGTCGCGGGCGCGGCCGGCGCTGTCTGGTTCTTTGCCACGAGGCTCTACCGGTACTGGTTTGTGTGAGATGAGAGGGTCCAATTGTTGCTGGTTCGTGCTGGATCTGGTCTCCAATTTGTGTGTGTGTACTTGGGTTGGCTGGCTCCCGCGGGGTTTGCCACTACATGGCCGATTCTGTCCTCGTTGTCGTTGTAATTCATAACATCCCAGCAGCTGCTTCGTCGTCAATGGGCTCGACGCAGTCGTGGGCGGAACCCCGAGAATGTCGCGACGCCAGAGTTAGCATGCATTCGATTGCCCCTTGGCTGGACACTGGAGCTGAGGATGGCTCAAATCAACACGCACTTGACATGCACTGAAAACATATTTGCGTTGTAGGCATTCTCCAGGTTCAAGGTCCAGAAGCTTCTACGCCTTTCCCTTACAAAAATGGCAATAGCCCGTGTCCTATCCAAACAAAGCTCGGCCGTGATAACAGGCTCTCAGAGCCACGTCGAAGCATTAATACTAAACAACGCCAGGCACCATGTCGGGTCCCAATGGCCTGTATAAAGCAACGCTTTCCCAAAAACGCCCAGCGATATAGATGGAGACCAACAATGTCCGTTCGTCTCCGTGTGAAAACCATGTGAAGGGAAGTGATCCGCCACCTCTGGCCACCCTGGCTAAAGCCCATTGAGGCTCATGCGCTCATCCATGCTGCCCCAGAACATAAGGGGCCGAGGCTCGAGAATGTTGAGGCCGCGCGGGAAGGACCTGCGTTCCTCCTCGAGACCCAAAATGGAACGCTGACGGAAAACAATGCTGTTTATGGTGCTCTCGGTGGACGAGAGGGTCGAGGACGTGACAGAAGGGTAGCGAGAGTGGCGCGGCGAGCCGGCGACCGCGGCTAATGCCCCCGACCGAGTCGAGGCCCTTCTGTCTGGCGAGGACGGAGTCGAGGAGGCGGGTGACGGTGACGGAGAGGGTGAGTGCGCGCGGGCAGAGCGCAGCTGGAAGCGAGATGCGAGAGGCGCCATGATTGTGGCGGCCGAACGGGAGTGCTGTTAGTCTTTTTGGTTTATATTCGAGGCGACATAAGTGGTGTTTGCTTTTGCCTATCAGGCCGGTTGCAGTAGCGTGCTTGTCAAGGAGAGTGGTGAGCGACTGGCACAGAGGTCGAAAGAGGCGGCAGCAAGAGAGGTGAATATGGGCACAGCCCGTTGTAAAAGGACTGGGGGTGAAACGAAGCCCGCGGAGCACGACCGGCGTCTTGCCGCGGTGGAGACGCGGACGGATGGTGGGTGAGGGTGAGAGAAAGAATGTCACAAATGCTGGAAATGAATATCGAATTGCCAGACTCGGCGGCCTTGGGGAGAGGGAGTCTAGAGCCCGGGCATCGGCGGCGGCGGAAGCAGCAACAGCAGCAGCATCACAAGCAGCAGAGGTAGAGACCGAGTCCCAAGGGCGGACTATCGAGCGCGTCGGACTGAGGGAGGGAAGGAGGGAAGGGTGGCCGAGCCTGATGAAGCGGAGCGGAGCAGAGGGCGGGCGAGGGAGCAGGAGATGTATTAATACGGGCAGCGGTATCGATTCAATGCTAACGGTATTGGTGAAATGGAAAATGCAGCATGGTAAGATGCGAGCCCCGTGAGCTCGGATTGGGATGGGGCATCTGATACACTGGTTCGGGGGCAGTACGTACCTAGTGTGTACGAAGATAAGGTACCTTTTTGCATTGAGCACACTGATTGATTTAGCGGACACCCGTATAAATGCCCAGTGTACTGCGGCAGATGTACTGACACGCGGACTGCACCTAATACCTAGTAAGGTGCCGAACGGTGGCGTAGGCAGGTACCAGCACTGTACCTGCAGCGACGAAGAACTGCCCACCCCCCGCCGCCGCCGGCACGCTTCCAGGGTCCCACTGGGAGTTCCCAATGCCCACAACACCACTGACGCCCAACCGCCCGATGGGGCCCGCCCGGTGCTTCAGACTGGTGTGGTAGATGGGTAGGAACTTGTAGGACCTTGCACCAAGGCCATACCTACGCAACTGTATCTTGGTCCCTTGCCTGCCCACCCAACCATCTCCGTTAGGTTCGCAAGGTACCACTATATCGTAATTGTCTCCGGTGGTGTTGCCAGTTGAGCGCACGAGTGGCAGGCAGCTCTGGGGTCCCCGGGCAGCTGGGAGGAGGCGCCTGGCATTGGAAGATTCTTTGGATTCAGTATCCGTACTAGGTAGGTACCTTCGTACGAAGTACGTACGTGGGTAGTACCTTGGACCAGGCATCCGTTAGGTACCTCCCGTCGCTGCACCTCGTGCGCTAACTACTAGGTACCGATGCGTGCAAGTTGCAGGGAAGGAACAGGTGCGCGCACAGTGCAGTTGATGAGCAACGCAAGGCAGGACCGACGGGAGACCAAGACCAAAACCTACATCCGGGCATTGATGCCAGAGACCCATGCCGGGCAGGTACCTACCCAAACTTCAGCGCGAGGGGGGCCCAATGCATTCATGTCATTCATCATCGTCACGACCCGGGGACCCTCCAAAGCCAACAAGGAAGGGGCTCTCTCGTCTACTCCAGGACCCCTGCCAAACCTTGGACCCTCCCTCCCTCCCTGACACAAGACACGACAGGGACGATGTCATGGATGTGCCGTGCCTCAGGCCGCGGAGGGGGGAGGGGCCGCCCCTCATCGGCATGAACAAGAGCAATAAATACTCTGCAGTGGCCTGTAGTTGTAACGTCGCCAGCACGCATTTGCGCCGCGTCAGAGTGAACCACGCTCTGACGGGCAACACACGAGGGCGGCGGCGCATGGCGCGCGGATTTGAGGCGATATTCCGCTCCGTCAAGATGTGTTTCTCACTCAGGCAGCGCTACTGCGGCAGCATGTCAGGTACGGGCAAGGTCGCAGCCCCTTTCTTCCGACGCGTCGTCTCCTCAATGGCGCAGTGCTAGCAGTTCAGGACATAACGTAGTACCACACAATGGACCGAGGGGCACCGGGGTCCGAAGACTATCTGCCCCCAGGGATTTTGTATTGACATGCAGACACGTACGCCTCGTAAAACGTGCAAGTTCAACGGTACAGTCAGTCGTCGCCGTGGGCCAACCTGGCCTCAATCTCTCCGCTCTCTCTCCCTCTCTCGTACGATGCCTCGCCACTTCACTGCTGTGCCGTCGCGCCAATTTCTCTCGAGATGCAACCGTACGAACAAGGCAGAAATGACATCGCAGCTGTCCGCCTGTTCCTCCCGTCTCACGCCGTCTGTTTCATTCAGTGACCGTTCGACCCCTCCCTTGCCGCCAAATACGACCGCCGGCCCCGCCACGCCACCACACCTGGCGAAAGGCTGAAACTGCCACACAACATGACAGCCTTGGAACTCCCACGTCGAGCAAGCCCGCCCGGGTTACCGCAAGGGCTATTGCAAGAACCCCTCCCCCGTGTGCCAGGTATCCTCTCGATTCAGCGACTCGTCCCAGCCTCGGTGTCCTGTCGCAGCCGTCGTCTCATGCACCAACAACGGATTCCGCCCGCCGTCAGTCACGCCCAGATGAATGCGTGTCAGGTCCGCGTTTCATACACGTTGCTCAGAACAGCAGTGAAGATCGCACTTTCAACCCCTCACTTCCTGTCCAGGGCGGCCTTCGGGCTTTCGACCGTCAGCCGCCCCTCGCCGTCGCCACGACATATGCCTGCCCGTACTGTACACTGCGTGTACTGGACTGTATTAATCGTGCAGTATCAGTTGTAATACAGTGCCCTCTAAACAGCGCCGCAATGACACGCCCGCCAAACGCCGCGCTACTGTGCTGTGCTGTATCAATCGACACCAGGTTTTCGGTATCTCGGTGTCAATCCCCTCCTGGGGGCGCTGCTCCTCCAGGGAGCTTAGCCCAGGTCGCCGTACCGGTACGAGCCCCTCTCTGGTCGACGCAACGTCGCGCTACGCCGAATGCTCTCCATCCATACCGAGTCGTCCAGCATGTCCCGGGCCTGCGTCGGGCTCACTGCGCTCCCGCGTCGGCTGGTCTGCGCCGAGCTCGGCGCCGCGTCCTCGGGTTCATAGAGCTCAAAGCTGAAGCCCGAAGTCGTCTCTGCCTGCGCCCCGGTCGACACCGACAGCCGAGGGAGGCTCAGCGGGTGTTCGTACGGGCCCTCCCGCGGCGCCGTGTCTGCATCCAAGCTCCTCCGTGCCTGTTGCCCAGACCCGCCTTCGCCCACGCTCAGGTGCGTCCACCGCGCAACCGATCCCTCGTCGGGCTTGAAGGCTCGGCCGGCCCCGTCGCCATCGCTCTCCAAGTGGCCCTCAATCTCGTCATCGTCGATAAAAATGTCTGGGATGGTCAGCTGCGGCACGCCAGACATCCGAGACGCGCGCTTCCGGTCCATATGCTTCTTGAACTGCCTCGACCAGTATCTGTGTTGCCATCGTCAGCACGTCGAAATCATCAGCCTGGGTGGTCACAGATCGTTGACTTACAATGTGTCAAAGAAGCCTTGAACGATTTTGCGTCTGATTTCCTCGTCCACGCGCTGCAGCCTTGCCCGTCGTCTGAGGAATTCCTCCAGCCTAACGACGCCTGCATTAGTTGAAATCCGCATAGCAATTTTGGTTTCAGTGTCAACTTACTTGAGACTCTTGCTGTCGTTGATGATGTTGTAATGTGCGAGAATCATGAGTACGTCCGAAAAGGCAATGCCCTTGTCCGGATCGGCCGATACAAGCACCTCGCCAAAGAAGATGTTGTATCGCCTCCTCCTCTCTCGAATCTTCTCAACATCCAAGAGGGCGAGGCGCTTGTTGAGCTTGTCCAAGTCGACCTCGTTGAACGCGCTCGTGGTGGCGATGGACATGTGCCGCGAGACCCGGGAATCGGCCCTCACATCTTCGAGAATCTGGCCCACAGAGTCCTCGGGCTGGTAAATGCGCATTTGGAAGACGCCGGACAATTCTCCCAACAGTCTCGGGAATGCTTCCTTGCTGATGAAGCCAGTGCCCGCAGGATCCACGCTCCGCCATGCCTCCTTGAACCGTCGGATCTCGTCCCTGTCAACGGCTGCCATGCCGCTCGAGCGCTGGTACACGTAGCTAAAGCTCTCGTAGATGAGAGACACGAAGAGGTTGACAAAGATGTACATGCTGAGGATGTTCCAGGCCACGAAGAGAAACCTCGCCCAAGGTTTGCTCCCGCAGTCGCTGTCGAAGAACTTGTCATCCTCCACGCAGAGCGGCGGTTCAATACCAGCATAGTCCTCCATGATCTGGTTCCAGCCCTCGCCTAGGCTCATTCGGAATAGCAGGATGAGTGCCTTGGGAACGCTGCGGAAATTGATGTTGTTCGTTTCGTTCGCCCCGAACCTCGTAAGACTGAACGCCTGCGTCATCGCGATGGCAAACACGAGAAACAGCACGAGCCATGTTGCCAACAAATTGCTGATAACCGGTAGACTGGCGGCAGCCGTCTTGAACAGCTGGTCCAATGCGTCGTTGCGTGGGATGACCAGTAGGACAATGGCGACGAGGAAGATCTTGTGTAGCTGCACGTATGTCTCGGCTCTCGTATCTGCAATCAACAGCGCCATGGTAGCCACAAAGGCCCCAAACACTGCGAATAGAGCGTAAATGTCCCAGGAGCTGCGTCGGAAGCGTGTCCAGCCCAGGCCGAGGATTCGAATGGCGATGTTGGCCACGTAAATCAGGACAAAAAGCAGGAAAACCAATTCTCGAACCCGGGTCCACCAAAGCGGTTCCGAGCTAAACTCCACGACCAAGAGCAGCAAGTGAAGCACAAGCACGACTGTGATGGCTTGGTACCACTTGCCTCGCTTCTCAATCGCTCTTTTGTGGCACCATTTCCTCCATCTCTTGCCCGAATCGTTGTACGAGCTCTTCGACGGCGATATGTGACGTAGCAGCTTGCGCAACTCTAGCCATGATCGCTGCTCGGCGGTGAGAAAGGCGACGCCTGTCTGCTCTGTGTAGTTTCTCATGAAAACCGAAATGAACAGCGTCAGGACGAAAACCGTTGCCAAAAGGTTGAAGGCGACGAAGAACAGTGCGTTCCCCTGGGAAGCGAGGTCCTGAGGTTGCAGCCCACGGCCCACTATCGCCTGTGCTGCAAAGGACACGTCCGTCCAGCCTTCCTGGCTGACGATCTGGAACAAGGTGAACAGCGAGGATCCGAAATCGTCGAAGTTGAAGTACGAGTTGGATGCCACCCGAGGTGCCAGCAACGGCCAGTCGTTGCTGAAAGGTGTGCTACTATATTCGCCAAAACAGCTTTCCAAGGCGGTGATATTGTTGCCGTCGTTGCACGATACCATCAGCCCACTGAACAGGTTCAGGCCGTAGATAGCAAACGGGATCAACAGCGAAAGCGAAATGAAAGCGGCCTGTCTAAGTCATTAGCATCACGTCCGCCCGGCAAGCATGTCAATCGTGCGCTGAGGAACCGGGGGAGGCCCTGGCACCGCAATACTTACGCCTAGAAGTTTCCACCAGCCCACGATGATGAGCGAGTGAAATGTGTCCCTGGCACTGTCACTAACGTTGAGGAGGCGCAAGGCTCGTAATGCCTTGAACGCGCCTACAGCGCGGGAAATCGCGCCATCATTGACAAGCAATGTGACCACGTTGATCCAGAGCGTTATGAGGACAATGCCGTCTATGATGCCCCAAGAGCTGCGCAGGTAGGCGTTGGGCGTCCAGATCAACCCATCGGCGATGATCTTGACAGCCGCCTCGAAAGTAAACACAACCGTGAAAGCCAGGTCGGTCCAGACATACCAGTTCCAGAGACTGTCGGGATGTCGTTCTCTGTATTCTTTCTGATACAAAGGCGTAGTCACGCAGGCCAGAACGACCATTACTACCACGACAGCGTAGACAAAGGCCGAGAAGGCATACCAAGCGATCTTATTCGGCTCCACGCCATCGAATCGCTCGAAACCTCTTGCCGGCCCGACCAATCTTTGGCAGAGATGCCTCACAGGGTTCTTTGGATGGAAGATATATAGAGAGTCGTTGTACCTCGGGTGTCGAGCGAGATACTCTCGCTGGGCTTTCCGCCGAGCAGAAGTAGCCGAAACAGCTTGGCGCGCCATCTGACGCGGATCCAGGGTATCATTTGGTCCATCGAAACGGATATTGGCGTAGAAGGGGTTGGGCTCCTTTGTGGTCATCCGGTGGACGAACCTACCCCATAACTTGGACAGGTACCCAGGCTTGACATCTGGTCCGAAAAGCGCAGTCGTGCTTCTCTGAGGCATGGACGTGCCAGGTCCGCCATGCCCGCTCTGATCCTGCAGGGGATCCGTTGGGTCATCATCCAGGAAGTCCCGAACAACGGCGTCCTTGAGAAGCATCTCCATCATGGCAGGCCCATAGTCCAGCGGATCTTTTCGCCGTCGAGACCTGCCGAGGGAGAAGATGGTAGACAATGCCAGGTTGCTCTCGGTACGGCCGAGCTCCTTTCGTTGTAGAAAAGCCTTGACTTGCTCCAGACGTTTCTCGTCCTCGGACACGTCGAAATTTTCCTGAATGACCGCAATGAACATGTTGATCAGAATGAAGAAAGACAGAATGAACCAGCCAATAAGGAACATGCTGCCAATCCAAGCTGTTTTCAAATCTGTTAGACGGGCTGTCACAGAATAAAGGATCTCGGTCCAGTTCTCACTGGACAGGATCTGATACATGCCAAGAAAGGAGTTGTAAATAGTAAAGAACGAGATACGTTGGAGTTCGCCGCTGTCGTCGTGCATTGAAAGCTCGCCACGGAACAGCTGCGAGGCCAGAATGGCCACCAGGAACGTCATCAGGAAGACGAAAAGCATGAGGTTGGCAATACCGGCCGCGTTGCCCAAGACCAGGAGAATCAACTTCCTGGTGACCGGAATGGCCAGCACAATCCTGTAGGCTCGGACAATTTGGAAAACGCTGAGCCAGGAATACGCGCGGGAATGGCGGATTGGTGGTATCAGGATGATGGTTGTCACGACTGCCAAACCCAAATCGAACATGTTTCGCCAGCTCCGATGGAACCTCTTCCAGTTGGCAATGAAGCGAATGACTATTTCGATGTCGAGCAGGATGGTGGCGATGACCTCCGCAACGTTGATAAAGTTTTCGCGGGAGCGCGACATTGAGGCGCTGCGGAATGCCTGGCAGATCAAGGCGAATGTGATGATGATGACCCAAACCGGAGACGTCTTGTCATATAATCGCTGCATCGCCGAGGGTCGTCGTAAGCGCTCTTCTGGCGCCTCATGTATGAAGGGTTCGGGATCAGCCGTGAAGGCACTCGACTTGCTCTCTTCGCGTATGACTTGGAATGAAGATGTAATGACGGCAATGAGCAAGTTCGTCAACCATAGGAGCATAATCATGATGCCAGCCCCAAAGAAGAGGGCAGCTAAGACATAGTCCGATCCCATCGTGTTGTACATGAGATCTGAGAAGGTATTTGCGCTCATGATGACGAAAACGAGTTCAAGCGAGTGCAAGATGTTGTCAAAACTGACTGTGTTGTTGAAGGGGTTATGTTGAGCAAGGCAGATGGACCCTTTTGGACATATGAACCCTTTCCCCTCACGGGTCCCATTGACGAGATTGTCAAGGGAGCCAGGGTTGTCGAATTGGACCCAAGGCATGGTGTGCCCAGTCTCGTTGCTCAAGTAGCCACCGCAAAACTCTCCCGCGTTTGTATAGGAGGCGCTGAGGTTCTTCGGGTCCTGCGGATCAAGCCAGACGCACTGACGGCTGAAGCTAGACTTGAAGCTCTGTACACCGATGATGGCGAATAGAAGCCAGAAGAAACCAATGAGAAAGGCGACGCGAACTAGGAGCGGCGCGGCCTTCTTCAAACTTCTCAGTATGATCTGCGGTACAAGTCAGCATTCGCCCTTTCTTGACTATTCTGAAGCACGAAAGGTTACTCACAGCCGTCCCGTGAGTGAGAGAGAGCAGTCTCAAGATGCGCAGGCAGCTAAGCATTTTGAATACGTAAAGGTGGTAGCGATGTTCAAGACCGGTTATGCCCAGGGCAAAGGCAATCCAGTAAGACGTAACGGCCACGAAATCTAGGCGATTAAAACCGTGACGCAGGAAAGCTCGCCGTGCGAGCTGAAAACGCTGTTGTTCTTCCAAGGTTTCTGGCAATGCTTGCTGGCCTTGCATGATTGTTGTAAACGAGCGAGCAAAGGCCGACGGTTGGGGCCCTATTTGACGAGCACCCTTGACGGATTTGCGTCGCTCAGGTTGGAAAAGGGTTCTGTACTTGTCCATTATGGCCGCGCGGACTCCCCGCTTCCTATCAATGCTGCTGTATTCGGGGGCGTTCATGACGAAACCGGAGACAATAATACGGACAAGTAACTCCACGGTGAATACCACGAAGAGCCCGAGCATGACCCAGTCGATCGCCTTGCTTCCCCATCTCTCGGGACGTCCATTTCCTTCTGAGAATACACTCGGCGCAGCTTCGACAGTAAGCAGGACGGTTTGCAGAACAATCAGGAGAAGTATGAGCGGCTCCGTGTAGGGATTGACTAAGACGTCGCAAAGAAAAAGTCTGACGCGACTCTCTGGCGAAAAGAATCCGAGGGTGTGTCCTTTGAGGGGGTTTGCAGGTGGTACTCGAGGCCGCGGAGGCTCGTCCACGCGATCAACGCTGGGGGCTTTCTCGGCAGGGGCATCTGCGTTCTGCGGGCGGTACGAGGTGTCGACGAACATGGAGACTGAGGGGCTCCGCTCGCGGTCGTACTGAGAAGTCCGCGGGGACCGGGATCGATGTCGAGATGTACGTTGATCGGCGACTTCGCTCTCTCCGCTAATGTTGACTACCCGCTGGGACATGGCCCGTACCATGGAACCGGCTTTGGCCAGAGCACCTGCTGTCGACGGTGAACGAGAAATTCGATATTCGTTTGGGTTCAATGACGCGCCGTAGCTGCGATGTCTTGTTGACCCATGGCCCGGATCCAGCCCGTGCATTGAAGCCGTCGCATTACGCCCCCTAGCTGGGCCGCCATCCCGTCCTGATGCAGTCTGAAAACTGTCCCGGGCCTGAGAGCCGTCATGGATCATGGCAATGGAGCCCGATATTGGTTGTGCCCCGGCCGTTAAGGGAACTCTGTCCGAGTCTGCGTAGTCTTGGTTTGGCATCTCCTCCGCGTATTGCGGCATGGGCTCGTCGAATGCATCGACAGAGGCTGTGTCGAAGCGTGCCTCGAGGTCGGCGGATTGACTAACAGTTGGTGGCAGAGCCGACTGCAGAGCCGTAGGGTCTATCGGAGACCCGGGGCTCGCGTCGTCATCGGATGCGTTGTATGGAGGATGCCAGTACGCGCTGTCCGGCGTCTCGTTGTCGGGGTACCTCGCAGCATCGCGCCCATGCTGCTCGCCCGGGGTCGCAGGCGATAATAGATTCTGTAGAGGAATTGACAGTCGGCGTCGGCCTTGGCTGCTTCCTGTAGGATCCGACGACATTTGTGCGCGGCAAACGACTCGAGGGACACGAGGCGAGGCGGAGGGTCAAGGAGCGGCGTGTCCAAGCAGATCGGAATTGGCGCAGCTTCACCTGTGAAGTTGCTGGCCGTCGCGCGTAGCAGGGCGGGCAGGCACCATCATCAAGTCCTCTGCCGGCGGCGGGCGCGCGAGTCTGAGACGAAGGAATGCTTTAGGAAGCTGCCGTCTGTTGAATGGAAGCTTGGTACCCTGAACGAATGGCGGTTGGAAGCGGAGCTGACAAGACGGAGGAGCAAGGACACGCTTGTGAAGCGCCCCTGCAACAAGTTACAGATCAGTGGACACATGTGCCAAGCTGACCGGGACTTGCGACACGGGTGCGATACAGTGTAGCGACTTATTCATACAGTATACATGCATCGGGTCGCTGCACTCGGGTGCCAGAGAATCCACGGCAAGGCGTGTTCTAAGAGATAGCAGTTGCCTTCGTGTTATTATGTAATGACCGTACAGGCCGTCTAGGGTAGTCAGGTAAGAGTGCGATGGTCAATCGGCCTATGCGTGAACTGGTGCTCTTATTCTTGTCTTCTGTTCAAGACTGAAGCTTGGCTTCCAAGCTTCAGGGGACGCCGGCGGGGCGGCTCCTTTTACCCTGTGGATCGGGCCCGTCACGTGCGCGTGACGTTCAGCGGGGTTCCTCCACCTGAGCGTTACATATTACAGAGGTATAGTAGGTCTATAAAGGTTTTAATAAAGCATGTTAAGGAAAATGTATACTATCTTATAATATAATATAATAAAATAAAACCTCTTTTTTAAGCTTTATTACTATATTAAAATAAATCTAATTATATTTAAATTAAATATAGCTTTTATAAAGTTATTATAATAATATAGTTAATTATAAAGAATCTTATATATTAAAGAGAATTATATTACTAACTTTATTTAATAAGCTTATTTTTAATATATACTTTAAATTCTTAATTTTATAAAGCTTAGCTTATATATAATAAAGCTAAAGATATATTTATCCTATCTTTATAAAATATTACTTTATATTTATTTAAATATTTAATTTATAAGTATATTAAGTATTAATATTATAAATTATTACTTAGTTCTTATATAATAAATAATAATGAAGTACTTAACTTTAAGTAAAAGAAAGAGACTTAATTAATTATATAAAATTAAAGTCTTAAATATATAATATTTAATAATTATATTATATAAAGTACTTTAAAAACTTATATAATATATTATTAATAAGGCTTATAATACCTTTAATAAGTACTTTACTCTAAATAGTGCTAGACTCTATTTCTTATACCCCTAGCATATAGTATACTATTAGGTAACCTAGTAATTACCTTAAGACTTTAGGTACGTAAGGAAGCACTAAGGTACCTGCGCCCGCTGCAACACTAGCATGAAATACATCGGTCCCTCAATGCGGCAGCCGATGTGACCTAGGAGATGCGAACTTCGGCCCCACTGACGCGACGGCGCCACTGCCAGCAACTCTTTCGAGACGTGACGCACCTGGCGCCCTCCCACACTTCCCGGCTCCAACATCATATCCCATCTTCCTGGCGTTCCAGCAAAGCGATCCCGCACGTCACCACGCGCGCACGCGCTCGCACGCACGACTTATCAACACAAGCTAGGTCAGCGCATTATCCTTGCCGTATTCCGTTCATCTCGATTCTACCGGTCGCATCATGCCGTCACGGAAACGGTCCCTGCAGTCCGTTGACGGCGATGCTGGCGACACGGATCACCCTGCGGGTGCCGAGCTTCTCGATCGGATCCGTAATATGTGGCAGTTTGCAAACGTCTGCCAATGGATCTACATTTTTGGAAAGGTTGCAAAGATCGACGATTCGGTCGATGTAGAGGTTCGCACAACCCCTCGCGGGCTCTGCTTGCAGCCTCCCGGGAGCCTCCCTGGCTGATGTCCTGCTGCAGGAAATGGAAGCAGAATGCCTAAAGCCGCAGTCAACACTTCTCGCAGATGTCGCACTATCCATCTTGAAGTTGGTCTCGTCGCACCGCGGCCTGACGTACGTCTACCCTCGGCTCGCGTTTGGCGCGCGTGTTAACTGACTTGACCAGGCACGATATCTTCAACGACCAGATGCGCAAGCAATACCTGGCTAAATCCCCCGACAGCAACCCCTTTGGAGATGAGGACGCTCCTCGAAACTTTGCCGATCTCGATGTTTTCACAAAGGTAGAGCTCGTCCTGGTCATCGGGTTGACTGAAAGTGTTGACACCGAATGTGAACAGATCAAGGTCTTGCAGCAGCTGACGCAGTGGGTAATGATTCACCCCGAACGGCTGCGCGACAAAATGGAGGAACAGAAGGATACGGAGCAAGCAGGCTGGGTAAGGCGCACAGCCGTGAAGTAGGTGCATAGGCTGACTCCGAACAGAGAATTGAGCCCTACGGCTGGGATCGGGACGATCGAACATACTTCGTCCTGGACGACAATCGCATCTACCGCATGACTGAGCCACCTCCCGTGCTACCCCGACCCAAGGCGAAGAAGAGCAAGATTTACCGAGCCGGCCGCCGATCGAGCAAACGACAACGCATCAGCTCCCCGCAAGCAGCAGAGTCCACACCGGAAGGAGAGGCGGGAGCAGAGCCCTCTGATGACAGTTTAGGCGGAAACATTTGGGAATGCGTCGCTGTCACCCTCCAAGAGGTGCGAGCATTTCTGGAGAGCCTAGGCAAGACTCGCGACGAGAACGAACGGATCCTTCGGAGGCAGCTTCAACTGCATCTGGTACCCATTCTGGAGAAGCAGGAAGAGGCTCAGAAGCGGAAACACCTCCAGAGAGAACGGGAGCTGCTCAATCTTGCAAAGATGGCCAACGCAAAGAGGTCCAGCCGGATTGCCGGCAAGGCAGAACGACAAAGACAAGAGGAGCATGAAAGGGAAGAAGAGCAGCAGAGGCGAGAGGTCGAGGCGGCCAGAAGACGTGAAGAGCGGGAACGTCAGAAAATGGAAAAAGAACGAGACTTCAGAATGTTCTCGCGCCAACGTCGCCTGCAAGAGCGCGAAGCACGTCGTCTGCAACACGAGGAAGAGCTGGCACAGCTCTCGGAAGACAGCAGGAACACAACCACGGCACCGGGTCGGACGTCGGAGCGACGCCTCCTGGTAGAAATCGAGAAGAGCAAGCAAGCCCTCCGAGAGCTGGAGGAGGAGGAGGAGGCCTGGGTCTTCGACTGCGTTTGCGGCCTCTACGGCCAAGTTGACGACGGCACGCATAGCGTTGCCTGCGAGAGGTGCAATGTGTGGCAGCACAGCAAATGTCTGGGCATCAGCGAAGACGACGCTGATCGCGCTGAATTTCACTTTGTCTGCAGCCCCTGCAAACGTCGGGACGAGGCTGCGAAAGCAGCGCCTCGGGGCGTCATCAAGCTCAAACTTCATCCGTCCGCCAGCGGCAGCACCGGTAACGCGCGATCAGCTGAGGAACCCGCACAGGATGCACCGGCTCCAAAGGCTCCGGCGGTGAACGCAAATTCTCCCAGTGGAGAGGCTCAGTCCATCGGCTCACGGGATCTCACGTCGCCGCTCCAGGGGCAGCCGTCACCTCTTCCGTCGAGCGCCGCGGCACATGTCAAGCCGGCGGCTCCTGTGGCACCTCTTACGACACCAACACTTTACGACGGTGGCCAAGAACAAACGTCTGTTTCGGCTGTCTATGTTCTGCCGTTGAAACAAGAATGGGCTCCCGAGCATCCCAAAGCCACCAAGACTGCCCCCGCTCCTTCTGCCATTGGCTCAAGGGCATCGCCTCCTCGAGAGCGGAATGGCATCGCTAGGGCGAGCAATGGAGACATAAAGCCCGAACCTGCCGCCGGACCGACTGATTCGGCCAGGAAGCCGGAGCCGATACTCCTCGGCAGCAGCACAGGCCCGAACCGTAGTCCTTCTGCTGTTACCAACGCCGTTGTCGAAACTAAAGCAACTGGCCATTCGATCCCGGCCCTGTCCGTAGGGCAGCAACCAGAGGGCATGATCAGCCTAGTCGCCGAACCCGCCGGTCCTGCCATTCAACCAAACGAAGAAGATGGTAATGTGGAAAACGCTCCGCGGGCGTCCAGTCCTTGGATTCTCGGAGAAGATCCTGTCCAACAACGGTGGGCGAATAAGCTTGCACAAGGGGGATCGCAGTAACCATGGATACGCGCTTGTATTGTATCAACCAGGCTCAGCTTGCGAATGTATCACGATGGCTATACATAGGAGACTTGTGGCGAGAGTGACTTGCCCGGAGGGCCGACGCGTCTATCGATCGATGCCATTGTCAACACTCTAGCGCATGGCTTGGGCCGCATTTGGTCGCATCATACTCCGTACAGTCGCATCAGTCCCAGGGAGTTCAGTCGGTATTGCGAAGCGCCTCGTACGTACCTTTGAGCAGTCGGCTCTTTTGCTCTCGATCGTTTGTCCACAGGTCTGAGGTTGCGAACGTGAAGCTGGACTGTCTCGCCACGGATGGGGCCTTGTTTGTACTGTTGCACAACGCCAAACAATGCGCATTCATGGCACAACGTGCTCACGCCGCGACGTTCTTTAGTCATCGCCTCTCGCCGGAGAAACTCAAAGGCAGGTGGACGTTGCCTCGCTGGATTTCAGCATGGCGCCGGCTTATTCCGACAAAGACACAAGTGGCCTACGCCATGTCCATTGTCGTGGATTGGGACCGGCGCAAGCACGGCACGACGGCGCCGGCTATGCGCGAAGACAGCCTTGTTCCCTTCACGATCTCCGCTCCCAACTTGACCAAGGGCCCAGGCTAATGCCCCGCGTCGGCACTCAAAGGACAGGGGGGCACTTCTTGTATCAGAGTGCAACAAGGCGTGCCTGGACGTGTCTTTGAGGACAGCCAAACACTGACAAGTACAGTGTGGGCATGGCCAGTGCTCGTGGGCCAACATTCCAGCTGCAGCAGTGTGTTTGGTCAGGTTGCGTGGACATCGCCGGTCGGCCGGCTCCCTTGTTGTCTGCCAACAAGGCGGGTCACGAAGGCGCCGCATGATGGCACCTGTCCTGGCGCAAAGGCCCATAGTCGCGACTGCGTGCTCCTTTACGGTCTGTTTGCTAAGGCGAGGCGCATGTCGAAAGACCCCTTTGAAGCCGGATTCGGCATCGCTTGTGCTGCGGCCTTGCGCATCGTGCCCACGCTGCAGAGGAGCATCACGAAGGATTGAAGGTCAGGGCTGACGATGCCCAGATACGCAAATAGACTGAGCAATGGTCACAATGGGCTTTGCCTGAGCCATGGACGGCAATGGCATAAGACCCCAGCTCCCCGTGTTCTCTGCTCCAGTGGAAACATGCTGGCAGAGATATCGTCTTCAGTGTTGGCGACCGCCCAAACCTGTTTTGTCCCGCAAGCGAGCAAGCATCGATCCGACGGGAGAAAGCCTGGGGCTACCTTCAGCTAATCGGTTCCAACCACGATCCTTCACCAGTCTTGCGCTCCCTCCAGTCCTTGTAGACGCTGCCAAGCTCTCGAGGCCGCCACCGCCGTTGAGCGCCCATCAAAGCAAGGCAGAAGCCAGGTATTGCCACTTTTCGGCCCTGCTATGGGACTCCGCCCGCCATCCCCTGCCCCCTCGATTGACGGCTTGGCGCAACTGCGGCAATACATTGATACTGGCGCCGCTACGCTGTTCATAGAACCCAACGGGCTGGATACCGGGGTTGCTCAGGCCAATGCGGAGGACCCCTCGAGGTACCGAGCGCCGAATAATGCTGGGCGCATGGCGTCGTACAACGGATTCGAAAAGGGTGCCGAGACCCTGGCCACGATGGGTTACTCGCACGACAACGGGTGGGCGCTCCATCTTGGCAATCAGGGGCAGGACGGCCAGACGAGCCTGCCCTCATCGAATCACTACGCTGCTGGCGCGCCTTTCGGGGCTGCGCTGGGGGATTCAGATCAGTACAACCTGGTAGGGCTTGTCTCCAAACGACGGCTCTCAAGTCTGTTGACAGTTAAGCAGGACAAAGTACCCTTCACTCCAGAGAGCTCGCCACCCGTCGGGGACTGCGGCACGACGCGAACGGGTGTTGGTCTGTCGAAGCGTTTACGGGCAGTCCCAGACGCTACTCGTGCTCGACGGCCGCGGGCGGCCAGCAGGAGACGAAACCAGGCCGGGGCCGCGAGAAAATCATTCTTCCTCAGACAGCCGCTGAGCGAGATATCTGCCGAGTCCGGTGACGCTCTCGTCTTCGACGTCGATAGCTTTGTGCACCGGCCCCCGGAAGTTCGAAAGCAGGAGCAGAAGAAGCAGGGCAAGGTGAAGCGTCCGCTCAACGACTTTGTGCTCTACCGCAAGGCGTATAGTGCGGTGGCGAAAGCAAGAGTGCTCTCCGAGGAGAACAAGAACAACCAACAGCTTGTTTCTCAGATCTGCGGGGAGTCGTGGGGCATGGAGACTGCTGCCATCAAGGCCACGTTCAAGAGATTGGCCAACGTGGAACGAACTAAACATTTCCAGGCCTTTCCAGACTACAAATATGCGCCCAAGTTGGTCAAGAAGGGCAAAGGCGAGACCTCGACGAAGGATGCTGCGACCACGGACCAGATCGTCGCCTCTAGCCATCACGGTTCGATGGCGATGCCGTCAGCCCAGATGCTCCATCCACCAAACCACGTAGCGTACATGCCGGCAGCGAACACAATGGCCATGGGCCGGCTGCCAGAGTACGCGCCGGTGGGGCCCTATTGGTACCAACCCGGAGGGCAACAACTTGTTGCATTATATGGCGTTGGACAAACGGGCTACCCCGATGGCCAAGACAGGCTCGAACACGAAGACGCACGGGCGAGGGGGGAAGCGCCGCCGCAGCCGACCAGCTACGAGCTGCAACCATCGCTACAGGGGATGCCCGCTCAACCGCTGCCGGATCTCTGCATTGACCCATCTCTCCTCCCGCGCGCAGGCGAGCCCGCCTACCAGTATGTGGACCCCGGAGACTGCGTGTTGGCGGCGGCGGCTGGACCAGCGCTGGACCCAGAGCTCGGCGACAACTTCATGACGGCAATGCCCGATCTCGACGTCGACGGCGCCCACAATGCTTATCTGCGGGGGACCCAAGGCGACTGGGAGGTCGAGTTCCTTGATGAGGGCAGTCACTTCAACGACTGGATGGCACAAGAAGAACACGCCAACTTGCAGCCATGAGGGCGATGTGATGAAGTGCCGGATAGATGGGACGCCGGGTTCGAGGGCGAAGCTTCGTGCTGGCTCACGATTTGCGATCCTCTTGCGCGTGCATTGAACCAGGAGCACTCACTTTTGAGGCAGTGTAACTGTAGGGGCGAATAACGCTATTATTAGACGGTGTGAAGGCACCACACAACAAGCAATTGTAATTGTACAGTATGGAAGTCAGCCCGCGTTGTCATTGTGCAGGGGCCCAGGTGCGAGTGTGTGAGCGACTGAGCCGCAGCTTGGGCGACGTGATGTGCAGGGGGTCGGGAGTGAAGGGAGGGAAGGGGGGGGGAGAGCCACTCATCCTGGCTTAGTCATTGGACAGACTGCATCCAGCAGCAAACAGCAAAAGTGACCTACGACGCAACATACGCAGCCAGAACAACGATCCCTTCGCCCCCAGCGCGAGCTCTCCAGCTGCTACCAAACGCCACCACGTCGCGCGACTGGACACTTCCCCCCAACGCCGAGCCGATCTCAATCGTGCGCTCAACATGACTTGGACATCTCGCGCAGTGACCCTCGCGGGGCTTGTCTTCCTTGCTCATTCGTGCGCCTCCCTCAATCATTTAGATCGGCGTACGAGGTCCTGAGGCTAACGAGCTTCCCCCAGATGCTACTCTGCGCAGGAGCATTTCGCCCTATCCTCGGCACTGGCGAAGCGAGCCGCGTCACAGCACCCCGGAGCCTCGCTTCCCATAGATATTCGTATAGAAGCTATCGTGGCGACATTGGTCATCTGCCTCGGCCTGGTCCTGGGATCTCAGACTCTGCGCCCTGTCCAATGGAACGTATGGGCTGGCAAGATTGAGCGCGAAGGCGCGGCCGGCTTCCTCGAAGGCTCCGGGGAGGTGGAGCGGGACTATCGGGGCAGTCCATTTGGTGTCCTTGAAAGCCGGCCTGGCTTTATCGACATTCGAAAGCAACGACGCGAATTCGCCGAGTGGGCCAAGGGCAACAACAAGGGTTGAAGTGACGGATTTCCTGGCCAGAAGTAATACGACACACCGTGCATGCGTACGACACCATATCTCAAGCTTGATACATCTTGTCAACACCCGTGTCGACCCTGTCACAATGCTCCTCGTGGTGCCAGGCCCTCCGTGAGCATGGAAGAAGCCTTTAGCCACTCAGATACCGACTCTTGCAAGAGGCATGCCTCAATCTGCCGCCTTGACCCAACGTGTACTGTTCGACAAGCTTAGTGTGTGAAAGTCCAAGCTCCTGACAACGGAGCGTATGTTGCGCTCAGGAGGAGCTTGCGAATCCGGGGGCGTGTGTAGGTATCCCATCTTGGCGAAACGTGAAGCAGGCGACTTGTGCAACTGAACGAGGCACACGATCGTACTTACCTTATACTAGGTACTTTTCTAGGTACCCAGCAATAATAAGGTACGGGGTCACTTGCTAGCTAACTTTCTGAGCGTACGTCAGTTTTCAAGTGCCGAAGACATGTAATGCCAGTTTTTGTTGCGTCGTAAATACTCACCTGGTACCTTCTCGTTCTAGCCCAAGAGAGGTACCGTGGCTGGAGAATGCTAAGGTGAACTACCTCCAAAGACCGTGCTCCCGTGAAAGTTGAAAGGAAGGCGACAGCTTCGTGGTTCCTGCCTCGACCACGGTACTACTCTGCCATGGATCTTGATGCAAGGTTTTCTGCCGAACCAATGTAACACCCACACCAATTTCCGTCTTACAGCTCCGCATTACCACCAGTCTTTTTCAACGTCTCGAGGAGGCAGCTAGGGAACCATCGCCATGACACGTGGAGCAAGCAGAACACGCTCGCGCCGGTCCAGCAACCGCCCGTCTTCTTCTACTATCAGTACATATCGAGCCCCCAGGCAATTTGTCTCTCGCTCTTCGAGGCGTGGCGCTGCGTCGGGACCCATCTCGACGCCTACAATTTCACAGCGGCAGGACGCGATCGCGAATAGGAGTTCAGAGCAGGTGTTCGGCGGACGAGAGGCTCGCCATACGAGCTCCGCGTTCTGGCAAAGTCATGACCAGGCCTGCAGTTCCCCCACTGTGGCCGACTCAATCTCTCTCGCCGTAGACGAGGATTGCGACTCTCTGCAGGAAGAGGTAATCATGGCCATTGATCTCAGAGATGGGGCAACCATGGGATGCGCGTACTTTGCTACAGCAGACGGCCTTCTTTTTCTCTCAGAGGACATCCCGGCCGCCGACACATCTACGGCGGAGCAGTTCGTTTTGCATTGTCAGCCAACAACTCTTCTTGTGTCTGCCAGGGCGCCAGAACATCTCCTTGTATCCCTAGAAAAGCTAGCAGCACCAGACAACGTGGAAGGTCTGTTCTTTCCGCAAGCTGGCCGGGCTCCTCATTACTGACTGTTTTCGGCAAGAGCTGCGACACTTCATACTCCGTGCGATGCCATCGTCCGAGTTTTCTCCCGTCACGGCCAGAGATATGCTTGTCGCCCTGCAGACAAGCTCCTCTCCGGAACCGTCTGCTATATACTCTCAGCCTGGTAGCGGTCTTCTCTCCGGGGAAATGCTTGAAGTGATGGGCGCCGATCATCCTCAGGAATCCGTAATCATGCGATCGCTGCGTTTGAGTTCGTACATCGACCTTGACAGTGTCTCGTCGGTACGTTACTTCCTGTCAACTCAGCTCCGCTGTTGGTCTCACATCGTTCTAGCTCACCTGTGCTGGGACCGTTCTAGCTGAGCTTCAACGGCGGAGAGCGTCATGCTTCTGCTCCAGCGGAGAGAATCTGGGGGCAGTATTTCAGGTAAGATCTGTCAAGATGTTCTCTTTGGCTGAGAATGTCTCCATCAATGCGGACACTTTCCGCGCTCTGCAGATCATTCAGTCTGAGACCCACCCGAACAGCCAAAGCCTGGGTACGGATCCAAATGGAAGCGGTGCGAAGGAGAATCTATCGATATATGGCCTGTTACACTATCTAGCGTCAAGCCCGCAAGGACGCCGGCGTCTGAGGCAGCTGATGCTTCGTCCGACAAGGGATATCAAGACCATAACGGAGAGGCAGCACACAATCGCCGCTCTTCTTCAGCCAGAGAACGCCGGGGCAACCAGGCAGGCCGTTTCTGCGTTGCGCAAGATACGAAACGTGGGAGTGGCCATGTCTCAGCTGCAAAAGGGGGCCGACAACAGGCAATTTTTGGGCAGAGGCGTGTGGGCAACGCTTCGTCGATTTTCTATTCATGCCTTGAAACTCAGAGAGATTGTTGGGTCGCTCTCTGGGTTCGATTCTGTCGGCTTTTTCCGCCAGGTAATGTGTCCCCTCCCACAGACAGCACATCCATATCAGAGTCAATCGGGACTGAAAGGGGTGGCATAGGTGGCGAGTGGAATTGAAATCGCTCCGTTAGTGGCGGTTGGCGATGCCATCAGTAGAACAATTGACTTCGACGAGTCCGAATCGAGGCAACGGACTTCCGTGAGATCCGGAATCGACCCTCAGCTTGACGAACTCAAGCGCTGGTATGACGGCTTAGACAACTTGCTGACTGAAGTCGTCAGTCGACTCAACCAGAGTCTGCCACAGTGGGCCCGCCATTACGTCCGATCGTGTGTTTTCTTACCACAGCTTGGTTTCCTTGTGGTTGTTGATCTGGACCCTATGACTGGCCATGGCAGATATGAAGGAGAGGGAGCGGACGACGATCCCTGGGACAAGTTATTCGCAACCCATGAAACGGTTTACTACAAAAACAGCTACATGAAGGACCTCGACGATCAGTATGGGGACATGTATTGCGAAATCGGCGGTAAGGGGTGGTCATTGCCTGGCGGTGTACGGTTCTTTTCCCGGCTGACGGAGCAACTGACAGACAGGGAGGTTGAAATCATCCATCAGCTCGCTGCTGTCGTTCTGGGTCACGAAACCCCTCTCCTCGCCGCATCGGAGGTCTGCGGGGAATTTGATGCACTCCTGGCGCTGGCACTCGGTGCTGAAAAATACAAATGGGCAGCACCGCAGATGACGGAAGAAAACATTCTCAAAATCGAGAATGGTCGCCATCCTCTACAAGAGCTTGTTGTGCCGTTGTTTGTACCGAACGATTGCGACATTCACGGAGGCGATCCCTCGGAGTCAGATCAGAATGATTCAGGGCATGTGCTGGCTCTGACTGGGCCGAATCACTCGGGCAAGAGCGTATATCTCAAGCAGGTGGCTATTATCGTGTATCTGGCGCATGTTGGCAGCTTTGTTCCCGCTGACGGAGCCGTGATTGGAGTCACCGACAAAATACTGACCCGAATCTCGACACGAGAAAGCGTGTGCCGTACTGAAAGCGCATTCGCCATTGATCTCAAGCAAGTCGCGCAGACGATGCGATGCTCAACACCACAAAGCCTGGTTCTCATAGATGAGTTTGGCAAAGGCACCAATCCGGACGATGGCGCTGGCTTACTTGCGGCGATGCTAGACCACTTCTTAGCGCAAGGCCCATGGGCTCCCAAACTTTTGATTGCAACCCATTTCCACGAGGTATTTGAAGGACGCTATCTTGGACAGCACTCCGGACTGGCCCTGGCGCAAATGGACATACGGACATGCTGGGATGCGAATCAACCCGAGGATCAAGTGATCTATCTCTTCAGGCTGACGCAAGGGTACAATACTTCGAGCTTTGGTGGGCGATGCGCTGCACTTAATGGAGTCCCAAACGCCATCGTTGAACACGCCGGGGCCATCTCCAGACTGCTTATCCGCAATGAGGATCTAGCTTCAGCTTTAGAGCGTCCGTCTCAGGAAGAAGTGCAGAGGCTGGCAATCGCAGAGAATGTGGCGAGACAATTTCTTCAAGCAGACTTCAGGGGAGACGCAAACGCACATGGTAAGGAGAGTCACCCGAACATCAGGTCTGCGTTGCTGGCCATTCTCTCCGCGGAAAACTGAATAGGGGGGAGGTGCTCCGAGACGGCATATGCAGGGTGAGCTAGAATTGGGCAAGCCGTTTAGCTGGCTGACTTCGTCGGCGAAGCCTTCCTAGGCTCATTGTCGCATCGTTACATAGTGAAAAAGGATCACTAGCAGACCCATCCATCCATGCATAAAGGAGCAACCGGTGCTCAAGGTCATGATTCCATTATCCGTAGAAGGGCCAGTGTGCCGACCGTCCTGGCTCAATGATTGCACGCGTTCGCCGGAGCAGTCAGACGCGCTCGAGCGCGGTGGCCACCCTCGTCCATCCTCTATTCCACGCTGACCACGACCCTGGCCTTGCTCTACTTTGCCCGTGGCACATGCAAAAGCCTAGGGTCAGCAAGGCTTTCGTATTTGAGGGTGACGACTTGATCATCCTGCAGAGAATGAAAATATCACCGGCGACGGCCTCGGCCTACTGCCGCCAGGACAATGACGTCTGTACGTGTCGCAAGGGCTGACAGTGCCGCCGCAAGGGACTCGAACCCGCTGCGGTTCTCGCCTGGATATGGACGTGCAGTTGACTTGGCGTCGCGGGCTCAATAAACTGATTCGCGGGCATCACGGCCACAGCCGACCTGGCGACGCCGCCAGCACACTGACGACGCCGACACCCACAAGAAGAAGCACCGAGGGAGGATGTCCGACGAGCGATGCACCGGAGCCCTTCCCGTAGGAATCGCACTTTGTCGCGTCGAGCTTGGCGCAGGCCTTGGAGCTCAGGCTGGAGCAGAGGGGCGTAGCGGAAGCGCCGAGGTTGCTGCCGGCTCCCGCGACGGTAGTTCCGCCGCCGCCGGGGACGTTGATGGTGACTCCGTAGCCCCCGGAGCCTTGCAGCCCAGTCACGCAGGCATTGTAGTTACTCGAACAGGCTCTGGTGGCAGCGGCGCACGAGGCGCTGTTGCTAAAGGTCGTCGGCGCGTAGGGGAAAGAGAAGTACGGGTTCTCGACGTAGGACACTGGCGCCGTTGCGCCTCCCGTAGGGGCAGATGCCGGCGCCGTGCCGGTGCAGACGGCACTGCTCGATGGTCAGGATCGGTCCTCTGGACTCGTCGCGGCGCGGGACCTGCGCAGGGTGACGAGGTGCCAGGGCTGTGGAATCACTCACCCCGAGGGACAGCAGGCCGGGCTGTTGTTGGCGTCGAGGGCGCAAGTCTGGCCGTTTTGACAGCAAATGTCCTTGAAGGCTGCGCCCAGCGACGTCGGACAAGGGAGTGTGTCGGCAGGGCACTGTTGGTCTCTGGCGACGAGAAAGAGCGACGTGGCGGCGGGTGCGAACGTCGCGATCGCGGGCACTGCTGGTGGTTGGGCGACGGGGGGAGCGGGGGAGCGCGAATCGGCGAGGGCGGCGCAGGGCACGGCGAAGGCGAGGAGACGTCGCAGCATGGCGTGTCGATGCGAGACGAGACGGCGGTGAGGGGGGTGGAATGCAATTCTCCATGCGCCGGCGGGTGTGAGTGACGGTGTTTGGGTAGGTATGCCGGCGAAGCGGAATGGAACACGGCGGGACGGCTGCTTTCAAGGCAGCAAGACTCTGGTTCCCCAAACATACGATGGCAAGGTTGCCCTGGTCCCAGCCCAGTAGTTATTACTCTGTCTGTTTGCTTACGCTAACGAGTGATTTGACACTACGTACAGAGAACCTGCAGTGCAACTGACTGGCTACTAACCACAGTACATAATACGAGTAATTGCCTACTTCGGTACTAACTGGAGGTGCGGAGTCTGCACCATGCATGCATGCGTGCATTGGCGGCGCACCCAGCTCCAGGGGGCGCATCTCGCCGCCCATCTGGAACAATCTGCACGGGTCGCGAGCTGCGTCAATGTGCCCGAAGAGGAGTTGACGTTGCCAGAGTAAGCTGGCATCTGGCAGCACTTGGTCCCTGACAAGAAGATAGACAGATGCCGCGGCTGTACACAGATGATGGGACCGCTGCGAGCGTGAGCATGATGTCATGGTGTCAATGGTCTGTTGGCCCAGCAACCGCGAGCCCACCATCATCCTCCCTCATTGCCCCCAGCACCCTTCGCCCTCGTCCCGACCGAGATCCAGGAACGGAACACAGAGACATGATGAGCAGCGCCAAGTATTAAATGCCTTGGGGCCATGGCTGTTGGCGCGCAGCATCTGCGCGCTCTATGCAGGCCCCCGCACATGTGCCAATATCTGTCGAAGCCGGTTGAGGGCCGTCGTCTCGCCTTGGCCCTGGCCCTGCGCATCCCGGCTAGACAGGCGGTCTACCTCGTGCTTTGCCTCTGCCGCAAGTGGCCCAAGGTCTCCCCAGACCTCGTCGTTGTACGCGGAGAGGACGTCACTCCAATGCTGCAGCCATATACTGTCCGCGGCTGATGTCTCTGCGGTGCCGAGGAGCTCCAGCATGTCTGCCGGGTCCGCAACGGCGTCTGGCCTGAAATTGAGCAGCTGTTCCCAGTGGGCTCGCGTGTCCGCAGCTCCTCCCACAAAAAGTGCCTCACGTAGCCTCGCTTCTTCAGCCGGAGACAAGGCGTCACCGTCCTCCCCAGCCGTCCACGCTGTCGCATCCCCTTCATGGTCCGGCACTGACAGTAGATGCACAACGTCGGCACCGTCAACGGCCTCCTGTTGGGCGACTGTCCGCTGTTGACCTGATGTCGCCGTCGGCTGCCCGCTCGAGGGGACTGATCCGTGAAGCTGCTGCCCTGCAGCCGGCAAACGAGGTCCATTGTTTGGCCCGCCCATGAACGAGTCAAAAGCGTCAGCCGCGTCCTCGGAGTGAGAGTGCGTCCGAAATGACGCGCCATGGTCGGGTTGCGCTGCCCGTTGTGACGACGACGCCGACGACGCCTCGGCCATGGTTTGTGACAAGTGAGTGGCAGCGGAGCCGCCCAGGCCAGGCGCAGCGGCCGACTTTTGGTCGGACATTGTGCTGGGCATGCCGCCGTCGCCGCTGGACATGGCGTGAAGCGCCATCTTGCCCGAGGCCGTGAGTCGTTCTCCCAGGGTGCGATCCGGTGCGCTCACTTCGGGGTGGTGGTCGTGCCCTTCGCCTTGGGTCTCCTCGGTGTCGCGCGCAACCCGCTTGCCGTCTCGGCGCTGGCTCTCGTTGACGTGGCCATCGCCGGCGGCGTCTTCTCCCATTGTGGGTGATGAACGACCGCAGGAGAGGGGGAGCCGTTGGATGGGCCGGTTAGGAGGGTCCGTTCCTTGCCTCGAGTGAGTCCCTGGGCCGGTTGGTAACCATAGACTTGGCGGCGGGTTCGACTCCTTTGCGTCGGCAATATCCTCGACGCCTCTCGTGTGGATGTTGCGATGTGGGCGTGGTCTGCTCAAGACTGTCGAAGATGACGCCGTCTTCCGGATGTCTCGACTCGGCTGCTCGGTACTCGACAGATGCTGTCCCGCTCGGGCTGCCCACGGCCTCCCATGTGACGCGCTATGCGGAATCCCAGTGACAAGCCTTCGGGTTGATGCGGGCGGGATGCAGACGGCAGGGCCGAGCTTGGCAGCTATGGGGATACCTGAGCTGCCCAAGATAATTACCGGATCGGGTGCTCTGCCGGGCGTCTGAGGCCAAAGATGCTCATCGTTGCTGGGAGCCGCGGCTGTTGGTCGTCGACTGTGACGCAGCGTAGCCCCAGGCCTGCTGCCCGCGCTGCCCGCCGCCGCCTGTTTGTAACCACCTTGCAGGTACCTAGGTAGGAGGTACTGGCTCGGAACCTCAGCACAGGGTAACCGTGCCTATAGGTAGAAAGGCAGCCAGGCAGCTTTGCCGTGGACCCCCTCCTGTCCAGCGGGTCTCACAACAGTCGCTGTGGCTGCGATCAACTGGACTCGCCACGTGCAGGGCAATCAATTACCTACTCAAACCATGAGGCACCTAGGTCCCTTAGGTGGGCAACTGCAAGTCAGAAGGACGGATAAAACCCAATGCTTTCCATCGTGGCTCAAAGCACAATCATTGACCAACTAACATTAGTAGGTAGCGTCGATGCTCGTCAGGGAAGGATGCGCTCATCTCCTGCACACCAATGCTGTACTTCGTACGATGGGCGTTCCGGCATGGTACGTAGCTTGAAGCTGGCCTTTGAGGACCACGGGCGTTTGCTGCCACGACTCGACGGCCAAGGTGGCGCAAGTGCCGCCTCAAGGTCCGCAAACATGGCCCGTGATCGTTTGAGGTTGCTAACAATTTGCTTGCCTTGCCGGTCAGCGACCACGAGGCATCACCACCCTAACCTGGAGTAGGTCATTCATTCGTCTTGACCTCAGGTACATTTCGCAGTATCGCCCAAATCGTAACCCGTTGAGCCGAAGATGAGGTAGCGTCCCATGTAAGGTAAGTTGGTGACGTTGGCAAGCCGGGCTGGTGGTAGCTATACTTGCAGCCCAGGAAACGACCAGGCAAATCGCGAGCCGGGTGCGGAGACGCAGACCTCGCCTGAGTATCAGGTACCCAGGTACTTGACCAACGAACGTGCTAGGTTGGTGAGGCGGCTGGATCGGCCACTGACGGGACCCAGCCCCACCAGGCTGAGGTTCTCTGCCTCAGTGCGGTGCCCGTTGATGCTGCCCCGCCCACCGGGCATGGAGCCCTGGAGTGCTGGTGCTGGCGCCCAGCAGGCGACGTCCATCCACCTCCAGGCTGTGGATCATCCACCAGGGCAACCTAGGTCCCCCGGGCCTCCCACCGAAGCCCTGAGGTGAGGTGCTGAGTGCACGAGCAGCTCCGTCGGGTGCCCCCTCCCTCCCGCCCGGGTCCTACATTTTACCTCTCCGTCGCGTACAGGTACCTTCCAGGTTCCATGGGTACTAACTTAGGGAGTTACACCTCACCTGCTTGCTACCAGACCTTAGCTTGGCTGCCCGCCCGCCCACCTACCTGAGTTGCTGAGGTACTACCTATTGCCTTACCACCACCACGGCCTGCGACCTACCTACCTGGCTATTACCACCACCCAACCTTGTCTAGCCCCGTCCGCTGCTCTGGCATCCACCGCACCCATCCCGCATCCCGCCATCTCGCTCGACAAACCCACGTCACGTCACGACACGACTCTGCATCGACGACGCTCCCGCCGTTATCCCATCCCATCGATCTCGCCCAGCTCCAACGACGGGCAGCCATCGTCGACCGCCGCACCGTCTCGCCCGCAGAGCCGACCCGCCCTCCCCTCCGATCCACCTGGCGTGACCAGAGCTCTTCACCTCCCGAGCCCTCTTGTCGACAGAGGTCCTTTCCACCCCCACGTCCTCTGCCAAACACCGAGCGTGCCCTGCCGCTTCGTCGCCCTGCCTTCGCCATCCTCGTCATTACCTCCCGCTATCGCTGCCCCCCAAGATGGTCGACAGCGAAGCGAACTCGCCCACGTGGAAGTTCACCCAGTACGTTTCCATCTCCCCACCATCTCCATCACGTAGCCCCGCGAAATCCCTCCCCTGCGCACCCTCTTCATACAGCGCCCGCTAACCTCTCGGACCATAGGTGTTTCGGCGACAAGGGCGATGTTGAGGATATCACTGAAGGTTCGTCTCAGTCCACGGAGTCTAGGCACGCAGAGCTGCCGTTCGCACCCGCTGCCCGTCTCGTCGCCTTGCCACTTGTTGCTGACCAGCTCGGTGCACCAGCCGACATCATCTCTACCGTCGAATTCGACCACACTGGAAACTATCTAGCCACCGGAGATAAGGGAGGTCGGGTTGTTCTGTTTGAGCGGAATGAGACTGTACGTTGGTCCCTTGCCTGCCTGCCTTGCCCGCCTCCCCATCGATCCCTTGCCCTTCGGCTCCCCTAGCCCGATAAGCGTAACTAACAAGGGCGTCGCCGGCCCCGTCTACAGAAGAAGTCCTGCGAATACAAGTTCCATACCGAGTTCCAATCCCATGAGCCCGAGTTCGATTATCTCAAGTCGCTCGAGATAGAGGAGAAGATCAACAAGATCAAATGGTGCCGCCGCCAAAACGCCTCTCACTACTTGCTCTCCACCAACGATAAGACCATCAAGCTCTGGAAGGTCTTCGAGAAGTCGCTCAAGGTCGTGGCCGAGAACAACCTCTCCCAGGATGCCACGCCTGCAAATGCTGCTGGTGGCGGCGGAGCCTCCCGCCCCCTCGCAACCTCTCAACACTTTCGCAACGCGGCCGATCTCAAGCTACCGCGCCTCACACACCACGACACCGTCGTTGCCGCTGTCCCCCGTCGGACGTACGCCAACGCCCACGCCTATCACATCAACAGCATCTCTGTAAACAGCGACGGAGAGACGTTTATCAGCAGTGACGACTTGCGCATCAACCTCTGGAACCTCAATATACAAGACCAGAGCTTCAACATCGTCGACATCAAGCCCGCCAACATGGAGGAACTGACCGAGGTCATCACGGCGGCTGAGTTTCACCCTGTCAGCTGCAACTGGTTCATGTATGCCAGTTCCAAGGGCACGATCAAGCTCGCAGACATGCGCGAGAGTGCTCTGTGCGACCAGCATGCCAAACGTAAGCCTCCCCCTTCCCTGTTCCCACCGCTTCTCTTGTTTGCAACGCATCCTCTCTTTACCGTACACCTGTTCCCTCGTCGCCCCATGTTGACGTGAAGCGCGTAGTCTTCGAGCAGGAAGAGGATCCGTCGTCGCGGTCATTCTTCTCCGAAATCATATCCTCTATATCTGATGTTCGCTTCTCTTATGATGGGCGCTACATCCTGTCCCGCGACTACCTGACAGTCAAGATCTGGGATATCAACATGGAGCGGCAACCCGTCAAGACGATCCCGATTCACGAGCACCTGCGACCGCGACTGTGCGACACGTACGAGAACGACAGCATATTCGACAAATTCGAGGTGGTCTTCTCGGGAGACGCAAAGAATGTCATGACAGGCAGCTACAACAACAACTTCATGATTTATCCCTCAGACCCGGATAAGGAGGTCGAGGTGGTTCTCCAGGCAGACAAGTCGGCCTTCAAGGCCAAGAAGGTGGGGGTTCCCACGCCAATAAACGCTTCGACGAGCCCAACGACGAACGGAGGCAAGAAGAACGGATCGAGAGCCGGCAGCCCAGCCGGCGGCGCCCAGAGGATGCGCAAGGAGACGGATGCCGATCAGATCGACTTCAACAAGAAGATTCTGCATATGAGCTGGCACCCCTTCGAGGACAGCATTGCTATTGCCGCGACCAACAATGTAAGTGGCCCTGTGCGCTCCTCGACCAATTGGCATGGCCATGCTGACCTGGCCCTCGCAGCTCTTCGTCTTTTCAGCACTGTAGCTGGGACTTCTAGTGTCGGAGCAGGCCATCAAGGCAGACAGACCCCTTGCGTCGTTTCCCAGCGACAGCACCGGGTCATGCGATTGCAGGGGAGGTGAGGAAGCTGCCATCGCTGTGAGCTGCCTGGTGATCGGAACACTCGATGTGCTTGCCGCACCGCTCGCGGCAGTTACGGATGCGTGTTGGAGCCGTCGCTCTATCTCTGCGCCCGACCCGGAGAAGGGAGGGCCGCATGGATAGCGTCTGGGCGACGCTATGGGGGTGCTGCTGGGTTTGGTCGATAAAGCCAGAAGTGAATGTGAGCGACCTGCCACTTGTTCAAGGACAAGGCGGCTGAGGGACAGGATAGACGGCAATGCGCTTGCGGCTGGATCCACACGGGAGGGGCCAATCTTGTGCTGGTGTAGGCCGTAGAGCAATGTACGCGGCTCCCCTTTGCAGCCGCTGGTTGTCGGAGCAGGTGCCAGTGTCCAAGTCTTGAGGGCGGATCGGGCAATGGCAGGGCAACCAGATGCGCCCACCCAGTTGCGGGCAAAGGGCAGCGACTCACAGAATTGAGGTATAAAACAAAAATGTATCGCGTGCTGCCTCATGGATGTTGGGGCTGTTGTTTCGCTGGCATATCAGGCTTCCGCCGAGACCAGGGCCGGCTCGAAGGTCGCCTGCTGTGCAAGGTAACGATAGCACACTGCAGTGTAATGCCACAGCCGATCAAGGTGGTAGAATGTCGATGTCGTGCTCCGGTATCGCGGGAGGGGCGTACCTACATCCTACGGCATGAGCATAACGACCTGTGCCATGGAACTTGAAGGCAAACAACTTCGTTCGACTGTCAAGCCAAACACATGTCCATGTTACATGACGTAAGCTGCCAATTTTGTGCACCGTGCTTGGAGGTTGTCCCTGTTGCAGGGGGCGGGTGGACCTGGGGATGCACCTCCATAAAATGTACTTCGTACCTTACCTGCTGCCACCAAACACCAAACCAACCCTGGAATTTCACACATAAACCCCGGCCAACCTCCCACAACCGCAGGCGATATCTGGACCGCCTGCTACCCCTAACAGCGGATTGTCGGGCAACATTCGAAGGACTACATCAAGCACTGCCGCCCAGTCTGGCGCCCGACAGGTTCAATCTTGCGGCATCGGAGTACCAGAGCTACGAAAGTAGCAAGGCGGCCCTACCTCGGCGGGCGAGTGCACCAGGCGTGGAGTGGGACGCGGCCAATACCTTGAAATCCCATGCATCGCGACCACCGACGGCTGAGCGACGGAACAGCGGCCGTCGGCAGCCAGCGAGACGCGATGGGGGTGCCACCGGCTCGCAAAGGCCGCATGGCAGGGCCGGCCGCTGAGCAGACCAATGGTCATGCCACCCCTACCGCTGTTGCCCGGCGCCTCGCCCTGGAGGCTGGCCCGTCCGTGGCCGCGGCAGCGGTCATGCTCGCCCTCATATTTGGCGGTTGCTGCTCAAATGTTTGTGAAAGAGGCCCGGATTGTCTCCCTCAGGCGTGACCGACGTACTGATGCCAGACGGCTAGGTTTATGCGCTCGAAGCCATCATCAAGTGAGTGGCGGTGCTTGTACTCGTGAAATGAGTACTGAGAAATGCTAACGCTCGTGGGTGCAATAGCTTTGAGCAGTCGAGCGGTATGTGTGCAGCTTTACGAACCACGCTGTGGAACGACTTTCCGAGGTTGCTTGGAATGTACTCTGTGTAGCTGACACCAGGGCCAGGCACGCTCCTCACTTTCGTTCAGTTCGCCTTCGTGGCGGTCACGGGTTACATTGCCCAGTTCGACAAGACCCGGCCGCCGTTCTTTATCGCGCCCGCAAAGGTGCCGCTTAGACGCTGGCTTGTCAACATCGTGCTCTTTTTCAGCATAAACGTGCTCAACAACCACGCCTTCAGCTACGACATTTCGGTTCCTGTCCACATCATCCTGCGGTCTGGCGGCAGCATCACTACTATGATGGCGGGGTATCTTTATGGAAAACGCTACTCGCGCACACAGGCGCTAGCCGTGGTCCTCCTCAGCTTCGGGGTGGTCTTGGCCGCCTGGTCGGACGCAAAGGAAAAGGTCGGTCGCGTTCCGGCTCGCAAGGTGAAGTCCGCAGCGGCTAACATTGGCCCCTGGGCACAACTGCAGTCCACCGGGGCAACGGATGAGCCGTCATCACGGCCACCATTCAACCAAGGGTTGTTGATTCTCTTCGTGGCCCAGCTCCTATCGGCCATTATGGGACTGTACACCGAGGCCACATACCAGCGATACGGGCCACAATGGCGGGAGAATCTGTTTTACTCGCACGTTCTATCGCTGCCCCTGTTTCTGCCCTTTGCACGATCGATGGCACGCACACTGGGACGCATGGCCAAGAGCAGGCCGCTGCCGGTGCCGCTCCCGCTGGTCGGCCAGGTGCCCAGCCAGCTGGTTTACCTGGCTACCAACGTCCTGACACAGTACGCGTGCATTCGGGGCGTCAACTTGCTCGCTGCGGCGTCGTCGGCACTTACGGTGACTATCGTGCTCAACATTCGCAAGCTAGTCAGCCTACTGCTCAGCATATGGCTGTTTGGGAACTCGCTGGCCCAGGGGACTTTGCTTGGCGCCGCGGTGGTGTTTGGTTCAGGGGCGCTCTACACGGTGGGCTCGCGGCCGCGGAAGCCGGCAGACAAGGCGGGCGACGGCGTCGACTTAAAGGCCAAGAAGGCAGTGTAGGATATGCAGCGGAGTGTGTCGCATCACCAGCCGTGTCGTACTTGGGTGGATGACTTGCCGCTTCGTGGACAATGGCGTGGGTGGGCGCCGCCTGCCACCTCCAAGGACTCGATTGTACTCCGTACGTACTTCATACCTAGTAGTGCCAAGGTCATCATAACGGAGCCAACGTGCTGAGGTGCCTACGTGGGTACTGTAGTTCTCGCTGCCTTTCCTGCCTCGTTAGCTGGTGCTGCACTTCACTGCACCGCACCCGCACCACAATCGGTGCTTGCCGGTCCACGACGCTTGGTGCTGCTCGCTCTCGACTGTGCAGGGAAGCAGGGCGCGCCGGCGGCTTGGTGTGGACTGTGGTGGAGTCTTCCTGCGGATCCGAACCCGTGGTTGGCGCTCCACGAGGTCGTCGTCGGCTGCCCAACCAGGCAGGCGAGCCTACGGCTTCAATTGATGCATAAGCCGGGTATAGGCACCCTCCGGCAGTCGAGCGACGCGGACCCCGCCAAAGGGGACCCCGAGAATGGCTGACCTGCATCGTCTGCCGCGCCGGTGACTCGGCGGCGGTGGAGCTGAGCTCGCGGCCACCAGGGACCGTCATCCGAAAAGCCACCCACCCATGCATGCCACCCACCCGCCAGGCCTGTCACGCCGTCCGACGCGCCGGCACACTCACTCCACGCGGGCCAGCTCCAACCTCTCTGATGCAGCCTCGATAAGTACTTTACCGTGCCACGACACCTACCCGGCCTACCTCCCTTCACCCACCATACCGTCCCGAAGCAGGCCGCCGTGAACTTCGCTCGCTACACCATCTCGGCCCTTGTCATCTTGCGTCGTCGTCGTCGTCGTCGTCGCGAGGGCTGCCCGCAGTGCGAAGGAAAAGAAAGCGCCGCGACCCCGCGCGTCCTCTTTTGCAGCCAGCTCGCATCTTTCAAGGGCCTTTGTTTCCCAGCCGTCGTGCCCACTGGTCTGCACCTCCGCGAACCCCCTCTGTTCACAGCATACCTACCAGGGAGCCTCGACCAACTGCCCACCTGCCTCGCACCAGACCAGGCAGTCTCTCTTGATTCACCGGTCTACCCGCCCGCGACTTGACCGGAGCACCACCAAGCACCAACTCGCCGCCTCTCTCGACTGATAATGTGCGGTAAGTTTGCTGAACGAATCGCCGCACGACAACTCACCGCTGCCACACCCGTGCAACGGCTGCCATGGTTACCTGGGCATGGAGAACACTAACACGCCGCACCGTCCAGAAAGCAGCATTCGCGACCGGGCCCAAGCCGAGTCCATCATGGTGGGCGCCGACGACTTCGATGAGCACGACGGCACGCCACCTGCCGCGGACCACGACGCTCTCCAAGAAGGCATGCTCCCCCGAGACGTGCCTCAGCGCACCACCTTCTACGATCCGGTCGCCGAGCGCCACATGACCCAGACCGACGCCAAGCTTTTCTATCAGCGCAGCAAGATAGACGGCCGCGGCGCTCCTGGTGCCGCCTGGGCGACGTCCCCCCCGCAGAGCAGCCCCATCATGCCACCCGGGTCGCGGTCGGCCACAGAGTACGGCGCCGACTCTCTGATCCTGGACAACGAGGCGGGTAAGTTAGTCACGCTGCCTGCACAGTTCTGCTTCTCTGCCCCCCGGCTCATGCGGCTAACGTAGCGCTCTTGATCAGACAGGCCAGACGACGGAGCTGCGGCGACGACGGCTGGCTCCCAGTTCAGCCACCCCGCTACTCCCAACGCGCGAGCTGCTCAAGCTGCGTATGAAGCTAGCCCAGCCATTGGTGTCGCCAACAATACTGCCCTTTTCGATACCGAGCTACACATTACCGCTGAGCTGAGCGCCATCTCCAAAAGCATTCAAGACATTCTTGACGTGAGGCGCAAATACATGGCCCTCTCATCCCAGGGTCCGGACGACAATCCCAGGGATAGCCCCGAGTGGGACATTTATCCACCCCCTCCGGAGCCTGCCTGGAGTCAGAACCGCGCAGGCCGCGGGCATGGCCTGGCCGGCTCTCACAACGCTTCTCCCGCCAATGGCAACGCCAAGAGGCCTCTGCGCAAGCGCAAACAAGGCGAGGACGTTGGGGAAGATTTTGACATGGCGGACCTCATGCCACTACCCGGTAATGATGGCATGACGTTCAAGCTCGACGAGAGCGGTGTGTATCAGGTATTCTCGGATGCTGTGACGCAGACGCCGGCCATTGAGGTGCCCACCATCCGCGAGTTCTACATGGCCCTCGACAACATCCTCAATGTTTCCTCGGACGGGCCGAGCAAGAGCTTTGCTTTCCGCCGCCTCCAATACCTCGAGGCCAAGTTCAATCTCTACGCCCTCCTCAATGAGTACCAGGAAACGGCCGACAGCAAGAAAGTACCACACAGGGACTTCTACAACGTCCGAAAGGTGGACACTCACGTCCACCACTCGGCGTGCATGAACCAGAAGCACTTGCTGCGATTCATCAAGAGCAAGATGAAGAAGCACCCAAACGAAGTTGTTCTTTTCCGTGACGGCAAACACCTGACTTTGGCCGAAGTCTTTGCCAGTATCAACCTCACAGCCTACGACCTGAGCATTGATACGCTAGACATGCACGTAAGCAGGGACCCCGGCCACCGCCATTGCGTCAAGCACCCCTTGTGCGCTGTAGGACGAAGCCGCTAATAGTTCGCAGGCACACACAGACTCGTTCCATCGTTTCGACAAGTTCAATCTCAAGTACAATCCAATCGGCGAGTCTCGCCTGAGAACCATCTTCCTCAAGACGGACAACTTCATCCACGGGCGGTACCTGGCTGAGATTACCAAAGAAGTCATTTCGGATCTCGAATCGAGCAAGTATCAGATGGTCGAATGGCGCATTTCCATCTACGGAAAATCCATAGACGAGTGGGACAAGCTCGCGGCCTGGGTCGTTGACAACAAGCTGTTTTCGCACAACGTTCGCTGGCTTATCCAGATTCCTCGCCTGTACGATGTTTACAAGGCGAGCGGTCTGATGGAAACCTTTGAGCAGATCGTCCGAAATGTCTTCCAGCCCCTCTTCGAGGTGACACAGGATCCCTCGAGCCACCCGAAGCTACACGTCTTCCTGCAGCGTGTCATCGGATTCGACAGTGTCGACGACGAAAGCAAGGTCGAGCGGCGGCTTTTCAAGAAGTTCCCAGTCCCCAAGGTGTGGGACACCAAGCAAAACCCTCCGTATAGCTACTGGATCTACTACCTCTTCGCCAACATGGCCTCGCTCAACTACTGGCGCAAAAAGCGTGGGTTCAACACCCTGGTACTGCGGCCGCACTGCGGCGAGGCGGGCGACAGCGAACATCTCGCAGTCTCCGTACTCAGCTGTCACAGCATTAGCCATGGGCTTTTGCTCCGCAAGGTGCCGCTCTTGCAGTACGTGTTTTACTTGGAGCAGATCGGCATCGCCATGTCCCCATTGAGCAACAACGCATTGTTCTTGGCCTATGAGCGAAACCCTTTCCATCAATACTTCCGAAGAGGCCTGAATGTGTCCCTTTCGACCGACGACCCCTTGCAATTCGCGTTCACAAAAGAGCCGCTCATTGAGGAATATGCTGTAGCTGCGCAGATCTACAAGCTCAGCCCCGTCGACATGTGCGAACTCGCCAAAAATTCGGTCAAGCAGAGCGGCTACGAAGCGTCCATCAAGCGCCAGTGGCTAGGCCCCAACTTTGAGAAACCCGGCAAGGAGGGAAACACCATGGTCAAGACCAACGTCCCGGATAGGCGAGAGGAATTTCGGTACCACACGCTGCTTCAGGAGAGAGATGTGTAAGTCAAAGTCTCGCCGAAGATGCTCAGGCAGCGGGCTTCTTAGTTCTGCGGTAATTGCTGACTAGCGGGTACCTCTCCGTCGGAACAGCCTCAGGCGCTACGTGACCTTCGACTCGGGCAATGAGCAAAACGGCTCCGGTCCTGTGGCCGGAAAGGCCCAGGAGTCTAGTGCAGCACAGTGGCCCAACTCGACCTCGGCGACTCCCGGGTACGCTGAGGCATCAGCGGCGGCATCCCCCAAATCGAATCGAGACGCCAGTCGAGTATCTGATGCCATGGCTGACCTGCACCTGTCGGGTAGCGATCCGCGAATGTTCCCTGGCATTCTGACGCGTGATCAGCGCAGCGGGAGCCTGAGGAACTTGGCGCAGGCCGAAGGTTGGCCAGTCGATTCCAACGAAGAGCCCGGGGATGAGGATGACGAGTAGGGAAGCCTCGCGAGGCGTGGCGCTAGGTTTTGGGCCCAGCCGACTAATCGGCCACTCGGGGTCACAGCCAAGCGCGGTTCTGGCAGGCTTGTAAGATCAAGACAGGCGCTGCTTGTCCGCGTGCGTGCTGGGGTCGAGACGGCAGGGCTGCTGGTGGCGGAGTGTGGAATCACGAAGTCGTCCAGGTCGGGTCACGGTGCATATGGACTGGGCGGATATCTGGAGATACATGCCTTATATTACTTTTGTGAACGATTGAGCTACGCGCCGTAGCCACGGTCGGACGTGTCGACCAGGGTTGGGGGCAAAATGTGTAGCCCTCCTCGTGGGGATAGAGGAGTCCGGAGTTTAGGGTGCGTTTACGGTCGATGAGGTACCTGAGTAGGTACGGCGACTTCGGCAGCCAATGCTTCACAAGCCTTACTTGACTACATTACATAGTATAAAGATACCTACCCAGGTAGGCAGGCGTGGGCGACGAGCAAGTCGCAGTTCGGGGCAGGTGGCCAACAAGTTTCCTCCTCAAAAACAATATCGCAACGTTGATGCCGGACGATGCCAACCTGCATGAGGTAGAAGCCAACCTTGGAAGGCAGCGGTTCTGGAAACATCGCTGGTGAGGTCTTCGTAGTAGTAAGCAGTTTTTCTTTGCTAGCGACAGGGCTGGCTCTAGCGGCTGTCACCAACTACTGGGTACGGAGTAATCGTACTCAAAATGCGTTGCCAGCCCACCCAGATATCCCGTATGTTAATTGTCTATCCCGGGGACGCTCCCGAGCTCACTGGCTCCGGCACTATCGTGCCTGCGGCCCCGTGCCCTTCGGTTGGCCCATCGGTAATTAAGGCATTCCGCGCCTGCTACGGAAAGGTGTCTAGATGTACAGTAATAGTACCTGGAAGGCATTTGAATGCAGGTACCTTTCCCTTCTTTGGGCCGGGTGTCACCGAACATCCACTGTATCGCATTGGGCTGTGCCCAAAGCAGCTGGGAGGGCCGTGGGTTTGGTCCAGGTGCTGCGCTTCATATGTTCGCGCTAGAGGCCCGAAGCGGGCCCGCCGCAGGGTAGGTAGGCTTGGTCTGCACCTGCTAGGTCCGTTGTAACTGCAAGGCACCTGTAATGTGCCGAGTAAGTCAGGTCGTTTCCCAAAGTTGCTCCGACGTCGTCACCACACCCCCCCGACCTTCACCCTCCCATCATTGCACTGTTCGCGTCGCGCCAGCTAGACTTCCCGCTCCGCAGCCGCCATCCGAGCCCGATACCGCTCGCGGACCAGCGCCGTGCCGAGTCTCGTCTTGTTCTCCCCAAAAGGGTGCGAACGCGGCCAAACACGCACGAGCGCACCAACGCGGCGCGCGGAGTTCCGTAAGCCGACCGCGCCCCCCTCCCCGCGACGACCACAGCGTATGCCAACCGCCTCAACCGGGGCAGCGCGTTGCCACCATGGGATTCCTCGGCGTCTACCGAGCGCTGTACGATTATGTCCCCCAGGCCGAGGGAGAGCTGGCCATGAGCGAGGGTGACGTGCTCTACGTGCTCGACAACAATGGCGACGATGGCTGGTGGAAGGCCAAGAAGAAGGCTGGTGCCGACGACGACGAAGAGCCAGAGGGCCTCGTTCCCAACAACTATGTTGAGCCTGTGAGTCTTCCAAGCTTGCTCGGCTTCTCCCCGTCTGTCCTCGTGCCCGCCTCAGCAAACTCACCCTTCCCGAACAGGCGCATGCACTAAGCCACGCTCGAGCAATATACGAATACACCCGACAGACGGACGAGGAGCTGTCGTTTTCCGAAGACGCTATCCTAGACATATACGACACTTCCGATCCCGACTGGATTCTTGCCGGGGTGGACGGTGAATTCGGCTTCGTGCCCTCCAACTACATTGAGAGTCAGGGGGGCGCCTCGGGTCCTCAGACGCCGTCCCCTGCCGCTCCCCCGGCGTTGCCGGCGAGGCCCGCGTCGGTGACGGCCACGCCGGAGAGTCAACACGACGCCGGCCCCGCGTCACCGCTGCACAACCCTGCGGCTGCCTTGGCTGGTGTCATGCACGGCCGTGCCCCGCCCCAGCGTGCTACTCCGTCTCCGCCTCCTCCTCAGCCCGCCCGACCAGCCACTCGACAGGACGAGTCCCACGCCTCGGAGGATGATGAGGAGTCGATGCGGTCTCCGACCCTGCCATCGCGGCCTAGGCCCACGCCAGCCGCCGACAGGCGAAGTCGTGACTACGCAGCGCCGCCTCGGGAAGCCCCCACTGGCGGCGATGAGCCATATCGTACACCTGGTGGCTTCCACATGTACAACATCAATGAGATGGTGTCGGTGATGGGAAAGCGGAAGAAGATGCCTACCACACTGGGTATCAACCTCAAGACCGGCACAATTCTAATAGCACCTGAGCGGGCGCAGGACGACCCCGCTCAGGAGTGGACGGCCGACAAGATGACGCACTACTCGCGAGAGGGAAAACATGTCTTTATGGAGCTGGTCCGCCCCAGCAAAAGTATCGACTTTCACGCTGGCGCCAAAGACACCGCAGAAGAGATCGTTGGCGCTCTCGGCGAGTTAGCCGGCGCGGTCCGTGCCGAGGGTCTGCGTGAAGTAATCATGGCAGGGTCGCAACGCAGCCAACGAAAGGGCCAAGTTCTGTATGACTTCATGGCCCAAGGCGATGATGAGGTGACCGTGGCTGCGGGCGATGAAGTTGCCGTTCTCGACGATTCTAAGAGCGACGAGTGGTGGCAGGTTCGTCGTCTCAAGAACGGCAAGGAGGGCGTCGTCCCCAGCAGCTACATTGAAATTACTGGGACAATCACGCCCCCTCCATCAGCGCTCGGGTCTGGCATTGACTCCGCCAGGGCCACGGTCGAACAAAACCGACTTGAAGAGATCAGGCTCACCAAGGAAGCGATCAAGGCCAGCAAAGAGCCGCAGCAGGTAGGGCCAGGAATGCCCCTCCCCACAAGAGGCAGCAGCCTCACGGCCAACGAACATGGTAGTAATTCGGGACAGCAGCGCGGCCGCCGTGAGAATGGACGGGGTGATGGCGCCGGCCACTCCAAGAGCAAGTCTAGTAAGCAAAGCATGCCACACTCTTGGACCGTCCGAGATGGCCCTCGTCTCGTAGGAGCGGAGTGAGTCCACGTTACTAACGCCGTTTCGCAGAGCCTGACTCCTCCAAGGTCAGGGTTTGGACGGATCGATCTGGCTCCTTCAGTGTCGAAGCACAGTTCCTTGGGCTCAAGGATGGCAAGATCCACCTTCACAAGATGAACGGCGTCAAGATTGCCGTGCCCATCGCCAAAATGTCGCGAACCGACCTCGAGTATGTCGAGAACACGACTGGCATATCCTTGGATGATGACAAGCCGCTGGCCGACATCAAGAGGGCCAAGTCTACTGACAAGCGGCCGTCCGATGTCGGTGCCTCCGTGGGCAAGAGTGAAAAACCCGAGTACGACTGGTTCCAGTTCTTCTTATCATGCGATGTGGCCGTGGGCCTCTGCGAACGCTACGCCCAGGCCTTCCTCAGAGACTCGATGGACGAAAGTGTGCTGCCCGATGTCAACGCCACGATCCTCCGGACACTCGGCCTCCGCGAGGGCGACATCATCAAGGTGATGCGGACGCTTGACGCCAAATATGGCCGTGACCGGAGCAAAGCAGGGGCGGACGGAGATGCTGGCACCGGGGGGCTCTTTTCGGGGCCTGGCGGTGCCCTACGGAATAACACGCGCAAAGGTCGTCCTGCGCCTGCCGTCCAGGCGAGTGATGTTGTCGATGCAGCTGCCTTCTCCAAGAGCGGCCCCTCGGGACCCAGCTCCGACGACGCTAAGTCTCCAGCAGCGAGCAGCCCTACCAAGTCAAGCCCCCCTCCGGCCGGCGGATTCGACGATGATGCGTGGGACGTGAAGCCGCGGCCCCAGGAGACGTCCACCAAGACCAAGGATGCCAAGCAGGGGCAGCCGACGGCTCAGCCAGCGACGTCTCCGAAGCCGGCTGCCCCAGCGCTGACTGGCTCGATGCAGGAGCTTTCCCTGCTGTCAGAGCCTCTTCAGCCCACCAAGACCGAGCCATTACCCGTCACCACGACAACCCTCGGCCAGCCGGCAGAGCAGCCGCCGCCGCCACAACAGCCGCTTCCTGGCGCCAGCCCGTCCTTCTTCTCCACCGTTCCGAAGCCGGGACAGCAGTCGTCGCCCAAGGCTCTGGCTAGGCAGCGGCCCGCCCCCCCCTCGCTGTCGTCTAACCCGGCCTCTCTAGTCCCACCTCCCCCCCAACGGCCCCTATCTGCTCCCCAGTCCGCGCAACCAGCAGTGTTCTCACCCCCCGCCATGGCCCCTCAAATGACTGGGTCGGTTCAGTCCCAGGTGGCGCCGCCCGGCCAGAGCCTCAGTGACCTCACCCAGGCGAGACTGCAACAGCAGTACGCGGCGCAGCTTCAGCAACAGCAACAGCAGCTACAGCCTGCGATGACGGGTTACGCCGCCCTTCAACCCCAAGGCATGGGCCCCTTCCCGACTGGCGGCGCCGGCCAGTTCATGCAGCCCATGATGACCGGTATACCCGGAGCGAGCCCCTTTGCCGACCCAGGCCGGCCTGGCCAATTCTCCCCTGTCCAGACTCAACCTACAGGGTTCCAGCCGACCTATCAGACCGGCATGTCGTCATATCCGCAAGTCACTGGCCCTTCCAGTACCATCAACAGCTTCCTGCCCCCAGCTTTGGAACCTCAGCGGACAGGCGCGCCGCCCATGATGTATCCCCAACAAACGGGTGCCGTTGGCGGTGGCGGGTTTACCCAGCCGTTGCAGCCGCAGAAGACAGGGCCACCACCGCCGGTCCGCTTCGGAGTGACGGCGGAAACGAAAAAGTTGACGCCGCAGCAGACCGGGCGGAGGGCGAACCTGTCCCAAGCAAGTAAGTCTGATCTCTCTCGCCCTTGAGGGACAGCTCCACGGACATAGACTAACTCGGTCGCTTCCGCAGCTCCGCAGAACCCTTTCGGCTTCTAGAAGCTTGCCTTGCAATGACCTCATTGATTCTGAGACGGGAGGACGGGCTGGAGCTGGAACGAGACGGAACACAGCAAGTCCAAGGGTTGAGCACATCCCCGTGGGCCCGCGGACCTGGATACTCACCGCTGGGCCAATCCCGCCGCGTCGTTGTCAGAGTTGCATGGCGCCTGTACCCACCTCGGCTTCCGCAAGTAGGCCATCCGCGGATGGCGTGCATAGCGTGGCCAGTATATAAATGTAGAATGTTCCCTCCAGAGATGATGTCCTTGGCCGCACAGGCGCATGTCGTAGTCGCCTGCCTGTATTTATCCGCGACATCGAGTAGGCTGCAGCATCTGCACAATGCTCGCAGCGATGAGCACAGACGAATGAGCAAGACGCGGGTTAAATGAGACGAATACTGTATCTAATTCATTGAGCTACATACAAGGGGTGCGTTGGATAACACTCTGATGGCGAGATCCATAGCAGTCTAGTAGATGGGTCGAGATGGCAAGTCTCTCTTTGTGGCGATGCAATACGCTGCGCTCTTCAGAAGCTTCATCCAGGGACGCGGGGCACACAGCGCCGCGCCCATGGCGACAAAACTCTATACCTTGGCGCGACAAAGGGTCGGCTATGTGATTCCTCGCGCTCCTCTAATGGGTGATGCAAGGTGTCTGCTGCTTTCAGGCCTCGTCGGAGTTATTCCCTGAAGCTTGGTATCACGGTTTCAGCCTCTACGTCGCTGGGGTTGAGTCTTGAGGTCGCTCGAGACCCCAGAGGTGACGGAAGAGAGGTCCACCTCGACCTCGGTGACAGGCTGCTTTCCGGGTTCGAAGCGCTTCCGGACAGCCCTGATCATCATGAAGAACCAGTAAAAGTTGAGGCTGTTGAGCGTGAGGTTGCTGGCGAGATAGACGGCTGCGAGCCAGAAGGGGACGGTGGAGTCGTCGGTGGCGAAGAACATGACAGGGTTGCCACGGGGCCCGGGGGTCGGGTGGCTGTTGATGGCGGCCAAGATGTCGCGGAAGGCAAGGAAGGACTGATAAGTGCCATAGATGAGGCGGCAGGAGAAGAAGCTGAAGAGCAGGAGGAAGCCGTTGTAAAGCTGGGCGCGAGTACCCGTCATGTCAAGCTTGTCCATGAACCAGTGGACGTTGAGGAAGGGCGTGGAGAGCTCCCACAGGATGAAGATGCAGCCATAGTAGTTGACAAAGGGGCGCTGCGTGAGTGTCAGTGAGTCGGTGGGAGCGGGAAACGTGATTTGGGGGGTTGGCAGCCGGACGTACGAAGCCGAGCGCATAGACGAGCAGCGCAGCGATGGCATGGGCCAAGGTGCCGAGGCCGAAGACATCGAGGTTCAAGCTGGTGACGAAGAGATCCCATACGAAGTAGCCGGCGGCCAGAGCCTGAATCATGCCCGCAGCGCCCGTGTATCCCCACACGCGCTCCTCCCAGTTCATGGAGCGGCGCTCGTCGTCGACGAACATGACCCAGATGGCGAGACCGTTGATGAGGACGCTCTGGAACATGGAGACGACGTGGGCGTCCCAGTTGAGACGCCTCTTGCGCGGCAGCTTGGCATAGTGGCGCGGAGCAAGGGCGCTGGAGATGATGGGCGAGAGAGGCCAGAAGATGACCAAGTAGAGGAGAGCGGCGGCGAGGACCTCGTGGATGTGCAGCGGGAGCGTGGGGAGGCCGAGGCGCTGGCACCATGGCTCGGCCCAGTCGACGAGCCAAGGAATTGGCGCGATGAAGAAGGGGTCCTTCATGGCCGATGCGTGCCCCCGGAGTCAGTGCTCGGGCGAGAGAGGGAGAAATGAAGAGAGAAGTGGTGGTCGGACGGCTCCTGAGGGCGTGGTGGACGCAGGCTGGCCCGAGTGCCCGTGTCCTCTGACTGCTGCTGGCAGTAAGTGATGTCTTGTTTGCCCGCACGAACTGGTGTTTTGTTCTTCTTCTTCTTCTTCTTCTCCTTCTCCTCCTCCTTCTTTCCTCTCGTCCAGCTGGCAGGGGATGCAGGGAAGCAAAGGCGTCGTCGTGAGAGGTGGGTGAGAGGGCTTAAGGGTGCTGAGGTATGAGGCGCGGTTCACAGGTGGACAAGCAAGATGCGCTCTCTACCTTCTTATCTCATTGGGACTTTGGAGGCAAACGACAGCAAAACGCGCCCGCGTCTGTGACCCAGGCAGCTGAAATAGCAGGCAGTCGTCTCGTGTCCCTCCCGCGTCGCCTCGAAGGTCAGGGAGAAGCACCCACGGGACCCAACTGTATGTGAATTTGTTGGGGATGCCTGCCAAGTACAGAAAGGTACTCCGTACCTCGGGTCGGGTCGAGTGGCTTCCAGGTTCCCACGTGAGGGGCCGCCCACCCAAGGGGGTCGCGTGTTCGCGCCGGCCAGATGCTTCAGGTACCCGCTACTGCCAGCTGCGGCTGGCAACGGCAGAGAGGCTGGGTAGCGATACATTTCGCTCCCCACAGGTGCTCACCACGCGCAGGGGACCTCCCCAGCCGACCAGACACCTGCAGGGCACCGTCCTCGTGTCAGTGGGTGGGCGCGAAAGGTGCGAGGGTAACCACCGCCCGAGCGAGAACTCGATATGCACGCCTCCCACGCAAGTTACCAAATACCTATCGTCTGTTCCCTAGGTTCCGTCATCTCGACATCGCCCCCCCCCCCCCCCCTTTTTTTTTTTTTTTTTTTTTTTTTTTTTTTTTTTTTTTTCAGCCTGCTAGGATTGTTTCCGAGTACTACTACTAGGTACTAGGTAGGTACCTTGAAAGCTGGTCGGTACCTAGGTACCTAGTACCAAGTATTGCCTCAAGCCGCCCCAGCTGATACTCGATACCTGGCAGTACCTGACGGTGCATGAGTCTACTCGTAGACTTACAATAATCTCAGGCCCGCGGGATCGAATAAGCCCCAGACCTGCAACCAAGTGGTACAGTCCTACCAAGGAGGTACGACGTTCAGCCGCTTTGCATGCACAAAGCGCCTGGCACACAAAATTTCAAGCGATGTAGACAGTACGAGAAGTGTCCGAGTCGTCCTCGAGGTTAGTCTCAGATACCTAGGAACGTTAGGTTGCGCCAGCCGCCGTCAACTGGCTGTCGACGCGGCACGACATTTGCATTGTGCCAATGGTCCAGCGCCTCTTCGGATCAAAAAGTAATCAGGCGGTTGCCGCTGACAATGTTTCCAATCTTGCCTTGGACCTGCTCGAACCTCATAAACCCGCAACTTTCGCTTTCAAGGTGGTTGATGATGCCGGCAAGGTTCTTGAAGTCCATCCGACACGCCGGGTTGGGGCAATGATACAAGGCTTGCTGATCTAGTCGCCCGTGTCAGCACGAGGATTCACGCACGTGCGGCCTTGCTTCACGACTTACGAGTCGGCGAGTTTAGGTGCTGGTTGAGACTGGGCAGCCGGCCAAATGTGCGGTGGCAGAAATAGCATTCGTACGCATTGCCATTCCACGAGCTCGCACTCGCCTCGTAAGAGCAGGAGCCCGTCCACCGGATGAGCTTCTTGGAGACGAGTCCCTGCGGATCCTTTGACCGGACGACCCTATACAGGCCATCTCGGTTGAGGCCCCCCGCGTTCGGGCAAGCGCCCGTCTCCAGATGATGGGTAACCCCGGTGGCGGTGGTGAACAGCCTTGGACAGAATGGGCACTCCATGTCATCGCCTCTATGGCGGCGGGAATTGAGATGCTATGAATGCAGTGTGTAAGTCCATCACAAACGGCGTCGATCCGTGGCGCTGCATACCATCCTGATGTTGTTGTAGCTTTCGAAGCCGCGGCAGCATTCGTTGCAGTAGTAATGGTCCTCGTGTTCGTGCTGGACACACCGTTCCTCGGTTCGCCAGGTCAGGGAGCAACAGGAGCACGTGTACGGACGCTGCCAGTGGTCCGTGGCGTCCATGTGTTGATCGCAGGCCCTCCGGCTGCGAAACCATCTCGAGCACGTCTCGCACTCAAAGTCGGGCGGAGCGTGGCCGGTAGCGCGGCAATGGTTGTCCCTCGCCCGCCATCCCGCTGGGAAGGCCCTGCCGCATGTGCCACATTCGAAGTTGTCGTATCGCGGCGGCATGACTGGCGGATGGAACGGATGTGGTCGCAGCGGCGAGTGCTATGAGGCATGCAAATGTGGTCGTGGACGTGCTGTGCCAACGGACCATGCAAGACGCCGACGAGGGGGGATCGGCTTGGGCGCCACGCTGAAGACGAAGGGGGCGCAGGGGAACTCTGTTCTGTCCCAGAGGTTTATTTTACTGTCACACCATGACGAGGGGCGCATGAATCACCGCGTGAGAGGACGATAGTACGTAGTCGAGTCGCCATGAGCGCGCCTGGGGGGGAGGATCCCTGATGAGTGAGATGAGTTGGTGGCTGAATATCACTGCCAGACGGGACCCAGGGGACGGGAGGCACCTTAAAGTACGAAGTACTCAGAAGGCAAGGTGGTAAGTAGCCGAAAGTCGTAAGATCCATGTCGGCGATGCAAAAATACCAGCACCTTGATGTATCGTGCTACAATACACAAGGCAGTGCTCTCGGTACCTAGTATATAATACTAGAGGTACCTGAGCTTAGTACAGGTAGTAAGGTACCCAAGAACCAGAGCAAGTCAGTCCCACGTGCCCCAGCTCAGGCACATGCACTTTATTGAGGCCTACGTACATTAGTACGCAAGGCAGGTAGGGCAGGTACCTACCAAGCCTAAAGTACCTTACTACGTTAGTAGGTACTAAGTAACGTTAGCAAACAACCGAACAAGCCCCCGCAGCTCCACCACCAGAGCTTGAGGAAATCCGCTGGCGGACCATTTGTCCATGCCACGTCAATGGATCCAGCAACCAAGTGCTCTCATAATTAGTATCCTCCCCAGCTTCCGCCGACACCGTTACCGTCGTCCACCACCACGTCGAGAGACAGCCAAATTAGGCCCCCAAGCCATGCCGTCCTGACCGCGCCTCTCGAACCCCGACGAGCGACCCGCCGCTGCACCGCAGACAGCTCGGCGTCATGGCCGAGACCCTCAGCGAGCTGCTCAAGCTCGAGCCCGCCCGGCAGGACACGACGACGCTGGCCTACCTGTCGCACCTCGCCGAGCTGCCCGTCGACGACCTTCGCTCCTCGGAGCCCCAGCGCCTCTCGCAGGCGTCTCATTCGCTGCTTCTCTCCGTGCAGGCGCTGTCCAAGAAGTCCCAGAAGCTTGTCGTCGAGTCGGCCGCCAGCCATGCCTCGCTGCGCCAGACCTTGCCGGCCATGGCCCAGAGCGCCAACGAGCTCGCCCAGGCCATCCCACGCCTCGACCGCGAGGCCGAGGCCTTCTCGGCTGCCTTTGGCAAGGCCGGCGAGAGCGCCCTCGTCGCCCGCCGGAAGCAGGCGTTGCGTTTGTTGCACAACTCGGAGCGCCTCGTCGATGTCATGGAGCTCCCGACCCTGCTCCAGTCAGCCGTCAAGGGGAGTCCCGCCGGCTACTCTTCCACCCTCGATCTCTACGCCCACGTCCGCCGTCTGGCCTCTCTCTACCCGACGTCTCCCCTCGTCTCCTCCGTTCTGTCCGAGGCAGACGCCGCCGTCCGCCAGATGGCTGCAGACCTCCTCGTGGCCCTCAAGGCGCCTGGCCTCAAGCTAGCCGCTGCCTTGCGCACCGTCGGCTGGCTCAAGCGCATCGTCCCCGACCTCGTCTCCGGTACCCCTGGCGACGACGCCCTCCCAGCGCTTTTTCTCGTCTGCCGCCTGACGACTCTCCTGACCACGCTTGCCGCCCTTGAGCCGCTGCGTGAGCTTGCCGACGACGAGCGCCTGCGCCAGGCTAAATCCGCCCAAGCCTGGTCGGGTGGCCAGCAGACGGAGCGCTATCTCAAGAGGTTCATCGAGGTGTTTCGCGAGCACAGCTTCGGTATCGTGTCCATGTCAAAGAGCGTCGATGCCAGTTTCGCCGCGCCGCCCGGCCTTTCTGTCGACGGCGATCCTCTGCGCACGCTGCCCTCGGCGCTGTCCACGCTGCCGCTGCACCTCGTCGACCTGTTGCTCGAGGCACTGCGTATCCATCTCCCCTCCGTCAGGGACCAGGCGTCACGCGACAGCATCATCACACAGGTCCTCTACTGTGCGGGCAGCCTGGGGCGGCTCGGCGCTGACTTCGGTATGCTTCTGGCCGTCATCGGCATCGACGAGTGGGCCGACCTTGTCAAGCGCCATCGACTTCTGGCAGGACGCCTCGAATCGGTCATAGGCGACTACCGTGGGCACGCGGCAGCACCCTCCTCGCCAGCTGCCGCCGCCACAAGTCGCTGAGCAGGACCGCGGGCGTGAGGGCTCCCACCGCTGTCCCGACCCTTCAAAGCTCTCGGCCCCAGACAGGTTGATCCCCGTCTCCGGCGCGCAGGAGCCTGCGTGCTCTTGCAGCCCAATGCAGTCGCCCGGGTGTTGCCCTTACATCTCTACAGTCTACAGACCTCGCCAGTGCACGTGTACGACCCCCCCCCCCCCCCCCCCCCCCCGGGGCGGAGAGGGGGTCCCGCCCGACGCCCGACGCCCTCCGTGCCGGGTCCGGGGAATGTCATTGATGAATCGGGCCTGGCGCTGATTGGTCCAAGGGATGCTCCGTCAGCAGATGCGAGGGGGCTCCACATATGCATACCTCAGGTTACCTTCACCGTTTGTAGCTTGCATGCGTGCGTCATGCGTGCGAGTGGCAGCTTTCTTCCTTCGCGTTTACCCTCGTCGTCCAGTTCAGCAAGCACCGATCGCATAGCAACATCGGCCGGCATCGGCTCGCATCGCGTGTGGCCGGTCCCGCACACTGCAACAGATACTCGTCGGACCCATGAGCTCGACGCCATCAACCAAGCTGTCGCAGGCTGCACTGGAGTCTCCCCAAGGCGCGGTGGCCCCGTCCCTTGCTGCTGACGGCCGGCATCAACATGTCGCCGTACCCATGAGCGACGCCCGGGCACCCGCGCGGGCCAAGTCAGGTGAGTCGGCTCCCTCGCCACGGCGCTTCTACGTGGTCTCTTAGGCTAACTCCCTCGCCGAATTGGTTCCGCAGGGCGTCACTTCGTCTCGGGGCTTGGCTCCGGCATGGCATCAGCCGTCATCTTGCAGCCCCTCGACCTCTTGAAGACGAGGGTGCAGCAGTCAGGCCGCTCCTCGCTAACCGACTCTTTGCGCGAGATCCGGCAGTCGCCGCACCTGGTCCGAAGCCTGTGGAGGGGTACAATGCCCTCGGCCCTGCGCACCGGCTTCGGCTCCGCCCTGTACTTCACCTCCCTCAACGCCATCCGCCAGCGCGTGCAACAAGGCTCCATAGGAGCCCACGCGCAGAGCCAGAGCGGCTCTTCCGCTCTACCCTCGATATCAAACGCAGCCAATCTGGCCTCGGGCGCAATAGCCAGGACCTTTGCCGGCTTCGTCCTCATGCCGCTCACCGTTATCAAGGTGCGGTTCGAGTCGAATCTGTACTCTTATTCCTCCATTTGGGCCGCTGCCCGCGATATCCGTCGCGTGGATGGCGTGCGCGGATTCTTCTCCGGCTTCGGTGCCACGGCCATCCGGGACGCCCCGTACGCCGGCATGTACGTACTCTTCTACGAGATGCTCAAGACACGCCTCGGCGCCCTGGCATCGCCGCAGGAGGATGGCAGTCGCCAGCCCACCAGCATGAGAGCGTGGGTCGCGAGCTCTGTCAACTTCAGCTCGGCAATATTGGCTGGCGCAGCTTGCTCCGCCGTCTCCAATCCGTTCGACGCAGTCAAGACGAGGATACAGCTTCAACCCCGGCAATACCGGAACGTATTGCAAGCTGGCTACCGAATGGTTGCAGAGGACGGCTTCCGGTCTCTGTGGGATGGGCTGGCTCTACGAATGAGTCGCAAGGCCCTGAGTTCGGCCTTGGCATGGACTGTCTACGAGGAGCTTATCCGCAGGTAATCAGTGGGCGTCAAGATTCGTTCTTCTTTGTGCTCATGGTATATAAGACTAGACTTAAATCCAACTCATCATAACGAGACGTAACTGTCATGAAGCAAGGCGTGTTATTCGTAGCAGAAGGGGCGATGAACCGTTGCTATGTAGGTGGCAAAACAGAGCAAAACGACGAGGGGCAGCGAAGGCCAGAAATGAGGGTAACTGTTGGCCGGGAGGGGTGGCGTGTTCCCGGGCGCCATGGTGTCCGTCACATGTCCCTCACCAAAAGCCGTCATGTGCTGGGCAGAGCGTTACAGCATCTTCATGCCGGACGGCCCCCAGCGAGATACATGAGGAGCCCCGGGGACTTGCTCCTCTTGCGGTCGTGCTTCTTGCGGACCCATTCGAACTCGGGCTCTAGGTGACGGTGTTTTTTCTCCTCGATGAGAAGCGCGCCGCCGCTCGTGCGCCTCTCGCGGATCAGCCTTGTGTGCGTCCACAGCTCTTCCTGCTCCCATTCAGGCACCCACCGCTTGATCAGTAGATACTCGGGGTCCTATGCGGCTACAATCAGCGTCTTGGATCTCGCTAGGCAGGGCAGTGGCGCATGCGACGCCAAGTGAAGAGGAACGCGAGAGATCGCGGGCGGGGGCGCAACACTTACCGTGTCCACGTCAAATTCAACCCTGAACGTTCGCAGCGTCTCAATCGACAAATGCCGGCGCGCCATGCGTGTGTAGGTCGGGCGCCCGCCGGGCTGCGGTACTTCGGGGACCTTCTTCTTTTCAATGATGGCAGCAATGGCCTTCTCGTCCAGTCCCGACTTGATGAGGTCTTCCTGGAGGCGTCGCTTGTATTCTTTGTCGGCTTCCGCTTTTTGCTTGGCCTCCTTGGCGAGTCGGTCAGCCTCCGCCTTCTTGTAGCGCTCGACGGCCTCGGCGGCCTCCTTGTCTCGTCGCTTCTTTTGCTCGGCCGCCTCCTCCTCCTCCCTGAGGCGCTTCAGCTCCAGCTCCCGCTTGATACGCTTCTCGTCCTCGGCGCGAGCCTCCCGCTTCTTGATGTCGTCGAGTTCGCGCTTGGCACGCTGAAGCTCGGCCTCGTCCCGATACTCCTTGGCCAGGCGCCGCTCGTCCTTGTCGCGAGAATGAGCGAGGCGCATCTGCTCGAGCTCTCGGCGCGCCTGCTCGGCCTCCCACTCTTCGCGCGTCTTGTATGCAGACGAGCGCGACCGCGACCGCGAGCGAGAACCGGAGCTGTGGCGGTGGTGCCGACGTACCACCTGGCCACGGCGGCGGTGGTCGTCGTCATCGTCGGACGAATACTCGTTGTAAAAACGGTTGTTGATGATGACGGGGTTGGCCGGAGCAGGCTGCGGGGGGCTTGCGCGACGGTCGCGGGAGCGCGAGCGGGAACGGGCCACGACGGTGGTGTGCTGCTCCGGGACGAGATAGCTAGGGCCGGCGGGGACCCCATAGTAGCTCCGGGGTCGGGGCGGGCTCTGCACGTAGCGGACGGGACGGGGCGAATGCCCGCGGTGTCGGACGTGGATGTCGACGTCTTCGTCGTCGTCGTAGTAGCTACTCATGGTGGCCGGGTCGCTTCGATGGGCGGATTGGGCGCAGGGCGGGAAGAGCCGCAGTTTGGGCGGCAGGCGGACGGGAAGCTTGAAGTAAGGGGCCACACCCGACGCCGGCCTGTCAGTGCCTCCACCAAAGACCAGCTAACGGGGTTTGGTGGTACTTGGATGGTTCAGATTCACACCGAGAGCGATAAGCCAGCAGATGGTCAAGAGGAGGAGAGAGAGAGAGAGAAAATTGCGGCCACAAAGCAAAGGGAGAGCGGACAAGGGTGGAGGGCGTGAGAGAGCGGGGGCGGCAGGCGGCAGACGTGAGGCTGGGAGCGTGGGCGGGCCAGGCGCTTTATGAATTTAATGGATTACGCGAGAGGGTACCTGGTACATGGGTTGGCCCGTCCGAGGGAGCATGGAAACCCGGAGCCTCTCAGGGCGTGGAGCCTCTGTAACAAAGGGGAGGGGGGTGAGCGAGAACCTGGAAGTGGGAGGGGGAAGGATGCGGCTGCGGATGCGGCTGCGGCTCCGAGCACAGGCGCCAGCCCGCCGGTCTGGTGCACCAACTCCCGGGCCGTTGCGTGCTACCAAATCACGGACGTGTACATGTTCTGTCCGTGCTAAGACGATGTCATTTACTGTCCTCCGAACAGTCCACCAAGTCGTCGGAGACAGGCTGGGGGCTGCAGGCCACCATAGCGTCAGGGAAGCGGGCGAGCGTAGGACGGTCGAGCAGGCATGGCGATTCGGCATGGGGGGGCGTGGAGGCAGTCAGCAGCTTGGGTGGAAAGGGAAAGGACGGCAAAGGCGCCATTCGTAGGGCTGGAGGATGAGGAGGGGCGGGCGGGGAAGACGATTGGGGCGCCCGCGCATCCCAGAGGGGCAGCCGCTGGCCATCCTCGTCATCTCTCCTGGTGCATCCCATCAGCTGCTTTCGTTTCGCCGTCGTCGCTGGAGGTGGGGTGCGGCCCAGTCCAGTGCACAGCATCAAGCCACGGTACGTCGGCTGGTGAGGCGTTGGTGGCCCTCGCCTCCCCTTTCATCGCCGTTGCGTTGCTTGCAGCCTGTTGGGGGCGGTGCGGTGTCTCCGTCTTCTCTTTTGTGACTCTCTATCTGACGCACAACGTAAGTCGGTACAGTACACGTCCTCCACACTCTCCATGTCGAGGGAAGAAAGTTGTCGTCGGCTTTGTCCTCATCCTCCTCCTAGAATCCCGTCCCACAAGTGCTAGCACGTTTGAATCGTTGGCACATGCATGCTAGAGTCGGGACCTATCCTCGCCACAGCAGGACCCCGTCCATGATACCTCAAGTCAGTAGCAGCTCTGTGACGTTGCGTCTCGCAGATACAGGCAGACCGGTGCCGCAGGCAACCGTAGATGATGCGAATGTAGGTTAGGTGGGCTCTGAGCGGTCATTCCGGGTGTCGTGTCCGCAGTCCGAGGCGCTACACAGGCACGCGCTTCGTCTCGCAAACTGCGGCGACATCCCTGCCGGCAGGCGGCAACCCACGACGCAACAACTGCATGACGTGCTGGGATGCCGACGGCTTCCGTCGCCCGCAGCCCAAGGTCCTCGAGGGTGGGCTGATCGCCAGGGCGCGAATATTCTGGGCTCCCTCAGCGGCCACGCAGCATCTGCTCAATGTGCTCGCGGCTGTTCTTGTGCGTTGTCTCGAGATACAGTAGCCGCTGGTTGAGCTTGGTCACGTCGCTCTCGAGTTCCTTCGTCTGCCCCTCGAGTTTGTGACGCAGGTCCGGCAGCGGCACAGACGAGAACCTGTGGGCAATCAGCGTCCCGCACTCTGCCCGTGTGACTACCAACCTACATCTTGCCCACGCCTTCGTAGACGACGGCGTCATCGGATAGGCCGGCGAGCTCGCTGAGCGTCAGTCGCACCAGACGTTGCTCCCGCTGTTTCGACGTCATCTGCGTGCGGGCCAGTCCGATCTGCTGCTGGGCGACCGCCGCCTGCGCCTCGATCTCGCGGGCGAGCTGTACAGGTCCAAATGTGAGCTTTCGGGCCTTGTCGGGATCTCGGTCATGGGAGCACCGGTCGACGCACCTTGTGCAGCGCTTCGTTGGGAATCGACATGACGGGCAGGGTCGCAGCCTCGGGCGGTATGCCGGCAGATCTATATGCGGTGCCACAGCCTTTCGTGGCGGATGGGAACGTGCTGGCCTCGCGCGCGCGTGGTTTGGGTGACGTGGGATGAGATGATCTGCGCAGCTCGGGAGGAAGCTCTTGTGCAGGAATGTCGCTTGGCTTGCCAGGGCAGCCTTGGCAGGGCCTGCCCCAGGTGGCACTGCTGGAAATGGAATGGGCGGGGGCGGGGCCGGCGGTGAGAATTCCGACACCCCCACCCATGAAGACCAGCTACCCTAGACAATTCGCGAGTCGGACGGGCCTGCAGACTTATAAATTCACCTCCACCCCGTTCGTCATCGGACGAGGTTTGCTTCGTTGGACGCGTCGCGGCATCGGTACTGTTCCCCGCCTCATTGACGCTATGCAAAACATGCTACAGCCGACGCATGCCTCCATATGCCTTGACGCCCTGCTGGCGTGACTCGACAGCTCAACGGCCTTTCTCGGCCGGGACACCGTCAGACGCAACGCGAGGGCGCCGGCAGACCAACTCCGACCCGTACACCTTCGCGGACGACCGTGTGCAGCTGCATGGCCAGGTCCGGGGCGATGCGTCGCGAAGCCTGCAACAACCGAGCCCGACCCGAGACGCCTTGGCCCGGCTCATGAGCGCTTCGCCTTCGTACCACCTCGCTCGACTTGCCGCACCACAGGGATGGAGAGTAGCAACCTGGGCCACAAGAGCTGGTACTCGTCAGAGTGACCAGACAGGCAGTGCCTCAGCCAAATCCCCCACGTGATGTAGTAGTACGCTGTTTTACCCGCGCTGTTAGCCGCATCGCGGAACGGGATCCGGAATCACAAGTGGTCAAGTTACCTCCTGGCACGGCTGTTAGTTGGTCTGGCCACGTCCTCGCATCCAGCTCTGGCGAGCAACTCACCTAGTCCTGTCATCAGATGCCACCACGCATGCCCCTCGAGCAAAACGGCCCAGGGCAAGCCCACTGCCCGCCGCCACCTCCTGAGCTGGTTGCAGAAGATGTTGTCCAGGTTCCATATCGCGAACCCTGCTACAAAAACCGTGAGCCCTATCACGGGTGGCCAACGTGTCAGCACCGAATTAGCCACTGGCGCGGCGCCATCCATGGATCCTTCTCACCTGTCGCCACAAGCACCCACATGGTCTTCATCTGCCGGCGTGACTGCGCCGCATCCCGTCCCTGGAGCACAGGCCGTACCTGCCTTTCCATAACCCATATGCTTCGGAACACGACCGTCGCAGTCAACGCCGCGTACACTACCTGGTGAAACACGGGATCCTTGGTGATGTGATAATAGGCCTGCGACCATTTAGAATCCCCAGGCCGGAATGGCGGGCCCGAGGGCAACACATACCGTGATGGACCCCGCCAACGACAACAAGCTTACACCGAGCAGGGTCGAGAAGGCCCGAGAGCGCGAGTAGGAGAAGCTGGCGTACATCATGAGGCAGGTAGTGTAGATCATGGAGAGCTCATCTACCAGCTGCATCGGATCTATCGATCGACTTTCAGTTGCCTGTTCATTCATACACACTTTGGGCTTTATGCCACCACGAGAGCACTTACACTTGAGAGTCGCGTGGAAGAGGATGGACCCGAGCCCGACCACGATATAGCCCAGGTACGCCAGCAGGAATATATTCGCATGCGACTCCTGGATGCAGTTGCGGATTCCGCTTACTCCCAGCCATAGGAACAAGCCATTCGTCACCGTCTGTACCGCGATCAGCTTCTGCATGACGCGGGCTCTCACGTATGCATAGTCGCCTCACATTGCAGAGCTCCGCGCAGTAAAACGACAATGCGTAGTCCTTTGGACCGTCGTCAGCAACCCCGAGAACGACGATGTGTCTGCTCCGGGCGATCCGGCTCACCGCACCTCTTCACAAAAGTTCAGCGTCGACGTTTGCTTGCCCCAGAAACCAGAGCCGTGGTCCGGGTACGGCGCCCGAAGGCCACGTAGGAGATCTGCCACCGTCATGGCAGTCAAAGAACTGTATCCAACACGACACACGCAAGGAAAGAAGAGTGCACAGGTGAAGCGTGCTATGATGTCGATTTAAACTCATGGCCACGTACGTGACGATTGCTAAACGTCCAGTCATTGTTTTTACTATCCGCGCCGGCCGCTCCAGCGCTCGTGACATTATGTCATTGTACCGCATGTCTAAGAGCCCATGGGCGTACAGGGTCCGTGCAATATTATGTCAGCGCAGCTGCCCGTCACTAAACTATAGTGGCTAGAGCGCTAAACTGCCTGTAAAGCTAGGCTGCTTATAGCTAGGCTGCCTCTATGCTAGAATGGATACTTGCTGGATTGACTGCTTGCTAGATTAACTGCTTGCTGGATTAACTGCTTGCTGGATTAACTACTTATTAGTTTAACTACTTATTAGTATAATACGCTAGCTTTAATATATAAGAGCCGGCTAGGCTATTAATATTAAATAAGAGTAGCTATTTAAATACTACCTGTTTTCTATTTAGATACTAGACTTAATATTAAGCTTACTAAAAGAGGTAAATATAGTATACTATAATAAGGCTTATTAAACTAGCCTACTATAATAGCCTTAAATATAGTAATTAATTAGTCGTAATACCTTTAATTATATAATACCTTTAATTATATAATACCTTTAATTATATAATACCTTTAATTATA